CAGTATTAAGATAATATAATATAAAGCAAATCATGTAAATATATGACTACGAAATAGATTTATAGACTTGTCCATAATATTTAATACCGTATTGATGGTTTTGAATTTTGTATATTGAATTTTAATGTGAAGCGTTTACTCTTCCCCCTCGGCAATTAATTAGAAAGTTAGATTAATGACAATAATTGCCAAATGACGTAGTAGATATATGATATAGATGTTCAATGTTGTAGAGTGATTTCAAGAGTAGTGGTCCACAGGGGCCCGAAAAAGCCGTACAGGCACTTGGGTCCTTATCCTTGTCACTAGTCCCAATTGGATTCACTTTACACAAAACATGAACGTTTACAATTTAGACGTACACATTGGCACGATATTTATTAGAAAGCAAACAGTATAAAATAATACGTGCGTGCGCGGCTTGAGCCGCGCCGCATAACAATTTATGCGTTTAGGGGCTGGAGTACGCGTGTTTACAGATTAATGAATTGTTGCATTGTAAATATTTAAAGTTGACGATATATTATGATTTAATAGTAAATTTTTCAAAGCTGGCTTTGGACTTAGGTAAAATTATAATTTATTTATTTAAAAGAAAAAACCACGGATAGTTTTTAATTTACATAGTCGTATAACTATAATCAAGTTAATCCTGTTTTCAAGAATGCGCGGCTTTGGCGGCCAGTTATTGACTTGTACATAAAATTGAATTTTAAATAGAAATGTGAATGTATTAAAATTTAAAACTTTCAAAACGGAGGCTTATAAATATTATTATATTATGATTGTAAAATAAAGGATAAAATTTTAAATTTGTTTCACTAAAAAATTTGTTTCACTAATTTATGGAAAATATAATTTAGGGCGGTCATGTATAATATGTAAATTATTATTTGATTTTATTTGCACTGTTAACGGGTGATACTCGTAAAACATTCCCAGGAAAAGTTACTGGCTGGTGGTGGTACTAGAATTGGTTTAATTTAAACAGACGGCTCGACCTCGCGCGCGACATGAAGCATGATTTGCACGCGTGGCGCATTCCACTGTTCAAACAGCTAGCACGTGACACAATTCAGCCAATCAGAGTACAGGAATCCGCAAAGTTAAAGCTGTGTACTTTTATAAGGCCCAAAATAAGACTTTTCGCGATAATTCAAAATCTACATTGTTTTGAATTTCCCCCGGGGGGGGGGGGGAAACGTTACTTTTACAAGGCGAACATTTTGTTGAAAACCAGACGTTTCTATCTTTTTTATTTTCGAAGTTAGGCCCCTACCAGTAAGGGTTTCTGGGTTTGTTTCAAATATTTTCTGCCGCAGTTGATTCGTATTTCGACCTACCAGGACCGTCGACGAGTCCAATTTGGCGCGCGTCCTGGTAGGTTATAAAATTACAATTTGCACCATGTATTTATTGTATCACGTCGTGACCCCCATCGTCGTTTCACTATAGTAGAGTTTCTACGCGATACAGGGTGAGTAGCGCACTTGTGCGCGGACGGTCATACAACGTATGACAATGTCAAATGTATTTCGAGTTTTTTAAACTAGAGCTTTTACGCTTGCAATGGCGCGCACCACAAAATCGGTAATCCACAAATAAAAAGGAAAGCGAAGTCCACGAAAGTGTTGACGGATGTTACTCATCTAAATTTCTTCGAAGTAGCGCGCGCCGCTTTCTTCTCGATGGCAAGTGCTACGAAGTAGCGCACGCCGGGCCAACTCATTTACAATGGTCAAACGAAAGCTGCAATCCACAAATAAAAAAGAAAGCAAAAAATACATGCAATGTATGTGGTCATTGGTGTTGGGTGTAGCAAATTACTATTTCTTGCCGAAATCATGCTGTAAAATAACACGAAAAAGTATTGTATCACGTTGTGCATGACCCCCACAGTCGTTTCACTAACATAATATCGAAACTACCTCTGTGATCACATCTTTCTCTGGGTGCAAAATGAATATATATATAGGTTTATTAGTTTTATAGAAATTTAAAAGTTCTATAGAAATTTATTATTATATAAGGATTATAAACAATTTTTTTGTGTGTTTTGTGTTATGCATTTTTATACCTATTTTAGAAGAGATTTTTATAGAATGTTACAAGTGCAGTAGGGTCAGTTTCAGACGAATTAAGCATAAATGACATCATTGCCATGTCTGAAGTGGTTTGTAAATGGGCCATTGTTAGCCCCAAGCGTTTTGGTCCCTCATTCCTGCCACTCAGCATTGCCTACTGTAAAGTAGAAATTTTTCTAAGATAACAGAGAAACTGACCTTGTCTCACTAAATTCAACCACTTACCATAATTAAAATACTAACAACCAAATAAAGTTTTTTAAATAATTATATACAATCACCAAAAATATTTCCTCAAGTTTACTTCTAGCTAACTAATTCGTGGTTTAAGCTCTTATTTTATTTATGATTAAAGGAATGTAAAATAAAACTTTTCGTTTCATTGAAAACTTTTCGTTTCATTGACTATACAGGAGGACTCTCGTGCGCGGCGGGTCATACAACGTATGACAAAAAGGTAATGTTTTTTATAGTCGAAAGTTGGAGAATGATCATTATATTATGTTTTGATTTCATATGATTTTGGTACTACATGCATTTATATATTATTACTTGGATATTCTGGGCAGAATTTGATGTTTGTTTTATGAAACATGAAATATGTACGAGTTTCCTGTGCAGTTTTAAACGATCTTCATACATCACAATTAAATTAATTGCTTATAAATTAGTAATAAATAAATAAAAGTAAATTATCAACAGTATAGTTTCACTAAATGTTATCTCTTGGTACTATACTGGCGCCTCTTTTGTTAATTTTTCCCTTATATTATACAATAAACTTTGAATAAATTTTTTTTGAGATTGTCAATAAAATGTTTACCAGTGTCCTGACTGCTCACATGCATAGTAGTTGTCATATGTTGTATGACCTGCCGCGCACGAAGTGCGCGGCTCCCCCTGTATCGTCGAAGTGAAGCAACAGTGGGGGTCACCACGTGATACAACATAGTAGAGGCTGTTACGGGGATTTTTTGCTCAATACCCTAGAATCATCAGACCCATCTTAAAAAGATGTATTTTTGACTGCTGAATCGAAAGTGTTTTAAATGGGAATAACCTGGTTTAATTTGGAAAAACCGGTTTTTTCGGTACACTGAATTTGATGTTTTTCTAGATAGTGAATGTAACTATTCTTGAAAAGCTTGCTTGACATCAGGGTTCCAGTTTCTAAGCCTTACTGTAAAGGATATCAAGCTAACAAGAAATGCAGTTGCCTTTCTTTTGAGGGAACGACAGGAATAAACCGTGCACTAGATACACAATACATAATGATACGCAGGGTTGGAGATTGCCAGATTTTAATTCAATTATTGCCTTGCTACCATGGTAGATCATAAAATTATCTCGATTGATTTCTAACCCACTATAAATTTCTTTTTGAGCCTTCTGCTCAACTCATTGTTTCACTGGATAAACTAATTGTAATCCCTTATTAGTTCAAAAATCGATGTGAGAGTAAGAATGTCTTCTTGCTCTGATGATGAAGGAGCAACAATCGTTTTCGACATTGGATCTCACTGTGCTAGAGCAGGGGTTGCTGGAGATGATGAGCCATCAGTAAATATAAAATATGTAGATTGTCCTGAGTTCAAAGAAAAGTATTGTAATCAGAGATATAAGCTCTATTACCCTGATGATAAATGCGACATAGATGTTCTAGATGAGGTCATTTCGAAATGTATTGGCTCAATCAGCAATTATGCAGAAGACTATTCACTGAAGGATAATGGCATTTTGCTCACAGAGAATTTTCACGACTGTCCCTCAAAAAGAGAAAAATTGACAGAGCTTTTGTTTGAAAAATATGAAGTTGCTAGCTTATACATGGCCCCATCACCAGTATTGTCCCTCTACAGCTCTGGTAGAGGAAGTGGAATAGTAGTCGAGTCTGGTAATTCTGTTACACAAACTGCTGTTATTTATGAGGGATTCATGTTCGCCAACTCAGTTTTGCGTAAAGATGGTGCAGGAGATGACATCACTGATAATTTGAGAAATTATTGTAAAATGGATTGTAGGAATGAAAAGGTAAATTACATTTTCTCTGATTCTGATTATGTTCATATAAAAGAAAAATATAGCTCTTGTTTCGAAGCTCCAACAACGAAAGTTGAGTTACCTGATGGGACCACTCATAGTATAAAGAGTACATATCTGAGCGACTGTACTGAGTATTTTAGTACAGAAACTCTACCCAACATGGTTTATAAGTCTATCATGGCTTCAAATATTCATACCAGGAAACATTTGTTTTCAAGTATCATCTTATCTGGAGGCAACACAAAGATCAATGGACTACCTGAGAAGTTAAGAAACAGACTAGATGAAATCGTTGGTAAACGTCACAAAGGTTTGAATATAAAAGTTGTTGCACCACCTGAACGTCTCTACTCTCCCTGGATTGGAGGTTCAATTATTGGATCACTTTCATGTTTTATGGGTAAGGATTTATCCAGGGAAATGTATCAAGAATGTGGTCCAAAAGCTATTCATGAGAGGTGCATTAATCCAGCAGACTCAATCCAAAGTTAACATCCATTACCTAAAACTGACTTTAAGCTGAAAGAAGAGGGAATGAAACGAGTGATTGATGATTATTTTTGATATTTTTTCCAAAATACAGCACTTTTTTGTATTTATGTAGCTTTCTTCAAAACAATTAACATTTTATACAGTAATGTAAATTTAACAATTGATATGAGATGACTGGGGTGTAGATTTTCTGTAAAATATGAATGAACCATTGTGTTTTAGTGTAATAATTCTGACTTTCACTATAGATATTTTGTATCATTATTATATTATCGAGGCTTGTAAGAAACAATAAATTAATTTATTACAACTAAGACTTAATCATTTTCGGTTTCATTTTTGCACTAAAACCATATTAAAACCATATTATCTAACATTTGACAGCATTTAACGATGACATGATAGAAAAGCCACGACTGCAGTTACCAGCTGCAGCTGTAACTATTCAAAGACTAGCTGTTTACGAAACTAAATCCACTTTCTACATCGTTGGAAATGACAATGAAAACTCTGTTTTTCGTCTTTTGAAGGTATTTACAAGTACAGGGTGGGCCAAAAGTCAGTACCCATACGTTGGCCTTAATAGCCCCGCCGTGTTTTATATTTGAGAGCTGTTGCTTTGCAGATGGCATACTTTACCTACTGGTTCGAGGATTCCGTCGTCAAAATTTGAAAATTCGAATATTTTAGACCACGCCCATTCAATATTAAAACACCTATATTGTTTTCTCTGAACATGCTGAACGCCTAATTTTTTCAGAGACGGTAGATTATCAAATGTTGCATATGATCTCCAAACATGAGGCAAAACGGATTAGAAATGACGAAGTAATCAAGCATTTTCTGTATCTCGTTAACAAAATTGACTGGGTGATTATGTGACACCGTGACACGACACCTTAATTGGGCACCCTTAACAATTCCCATAATGTTTAACGGGGTAGTTAACGGGGTCACCTTATCACGTGATTAGGTAAACCAATCACCTGATCACACGTAATGAATAAACTCGTTATGCTTCATATCTCGGTCATCTGAGAAGCTACAGTTCTAATTCTTTCAGGACAAACGCAATTCGAATGGCCAAACACAATTCAATAATATTGAGCTTGATCCGACTATCCAAACTATCAAATAAATATGAAAATGAACCTCCATTTGAAAAAAATGAACGCGAATATTTTTCGAGTTGACAAATTCCTCGAACCAGTGGTGGTACTAAGTCATACCAGAAAGAAGTATTTAAATTGGGCACTCAGTGACTGAGCTATTAAGGCCAACGTATGGGTACTGACTTTTGGCCCACCCTGTACATTAATAAACTGACCCTAACGAAAACGTTTGCCTGATCAAAAATAATATCATAGCTCTTTAATATCATACTATATTTATTTCCATATTCCTAACACTATGTTTTCTGCCAGATAAGTCGGTTGAACCCAAAGGAGCTGACCATTGACCATGATGGTAAACAGTACAGTAAGTCTGAAATGCAGACTATACTAAATGCAGTGGACGGTGATCCCAAAAAGAAAGTATCCAAGACGCCCCAGCTAAAGAAGTTGTTGATGGCGTTTGGGTTGCTGGGTTTTGTGAAGTTCACACAAGGTTACTACATGGTTCTTATCACACGGAGAAGGAAAGTTGCTCAGATTGGTGGGCATATTATCTATAAGGTAAGATTCAACTCTTTACTCACTCTTCAAAGTTTTAAATTTCAGTAGTTGAGTCGTTAAATTCTCGCTATATTTCAATTTGACTCCGAAATGTAGGTGGCTCGGTTTTAATTTGATCCTGAGTCGCTGTGATTTTAATGATTACAGCGACTCAGGATTGAGTTTTGAGTTTAACTGCCTGTAGATAGAAGACATAGCACTGACTGAACTGTCCCCGGAAAAAACTCAATCGAACAACAGTGCCGAGGAAAACAGATACATCAAATACTTTAACAGTCTCGACTTCTCAAGCAACTTCTATTTCTGCTACACCCTGGATATTACAAGGTGACGTCTTGTTTTTACTTTTCATTGTTGACAGCAATTAGGTATAGATTACTGTTATTTTGTACACCAAATGTTTGATATCTATGAAAGTAAACACTACTCAATTCACTGTGAGAAGAAATCATCTGGATTTAATTGAAACTAAGGCTCGATCTGAGAAACAAATCCAATATTTCTGAATATTCTCACTTATTGTAGATATTCCCAATATTTCAGGACAATACAGCAGAACATGGTCCCTGTACCGGTGGGTTGTGGGTCCTGTACAGACAGCTCCTGTGATCTGTGTTTGGTTGGAACGCGCTGTTATTCTAACTTTAATGAGAAGTTTGTGTGGAACATGCACATGCTTAGAGGTGAGGTTTACTTAAACTTTATAACTTAGAGGTGAGGTTTACCTAAAGTTGATAACTTAGAGGTGAGGTTTACTTAAACTTTATAACTTAGAGGTGAGGTTTACTTAAAGTTGATAACTTAGAGGTGAGGTTTACTTAAACTTTATAACTTAGAGGTGAGGTTTCCCTAAAATTGATAACTTAGAGGTGAGGTTTACTAGCAGATCTCTTAAACTCGATAAGGATTTAAGGAATTGTGGCATTTATGTTTGTTTGGAATTTTAAAAAATGTCATCCCTCAACTCAAATTGAAAATTTCAACATATTTATACTTATCCTGATTACTCACGTTACAAGTTATGTTAATTTGTTTACCAGGTGGAGGGTATATAGACAAAGTGGCTCGAGAGTGGCTAGTTCCACTTGTCTACGGTTTTATAAGCCAATCAAACATCTCGGTCTTTGGGAAGAGCATCTACCTGACTCTTATAGCTAGGCGATCCTCTAAATACGCTGGAACTCGCTTTTTAAAGAGAGGTTCGTGTGTGGCTACCAGATCTCTCTCTCTCTCTCTCATTTATTGTACTAGACTTTTTGTTAAATATTCTAAATGCCTTGGCATGGTACCAGAATGATAGCAGATGTTATTCTATTGTTTTACAGGTATGAACGAGTCAGGTGATGTAGCAAATGAGGTAGAGACAGAACAAGTGGTGCATGATGCTAGCTACACCAACCACAGGTACTTATTATCACACATGTTGTATAGTAGTGTATTATAGTAGTGTTGCGCTATTAGCTTATTCTAATTTATAATTGTTTGACATTTTTAGTATAATTTGCAGTACTGATCGTGAATTTAAAATATAACATTTCATGTCAGATGATTCATATCAATTTATCTGACATTTAAATAACTTTTTTAACACCAGGTTCCTAAAGATAACAGCTTACGTACAGTTGAGAGGTTCAGTACCTGCTTTCTGGCATCAGGATACTAGCACCATGGTAATTACATCAATATTATTTCAGTTTTATTACAGCCACTTTGAGTGTATAACTATTGGGAATTATATAATATTCATCTATAAGTACTTGATAACATTATGAAGTCTGATTTACACATTTATTTTGAAAGCTCCTGCTTAATAAACATTTCGTATCTCGTATACTGTTATATGTTTTAGACAACCCCTCCAGGTCCCGAAGCCGCCGATAGTGATCAGCCGGTCAGACCCGTACTTCAGCATTGCGGCGATGCACTTCAACACGCTCATGTCCCAGTACGGGAGTCCTATCTACATCTTCAACTTGGTGAAGAGTAAAGAGAAGAAGAACCACGAGAGACAGCTGACTCAGGTGCTGACTCAGACTGTTGGTTACCTCAACCAGTTCCTTCCAATCAAGTTAGTAACCTCAACCAGTTCCTTCCAATCAAGTTAGTAACCTCAACCAGTTCCTTCCAATCAAGTTAGTAACCTCAACCAGTTCCTTCCAATCAAGTTAGTAACCTCAACCAGTTCCTTCCAATCAAGTTAGTAGCCTCAACCAGTTCCTTCCAATCAAGTTAGTTACCTCAATCAAGTTTAGTTACCTCAACCGTGTGTGTAGTGTGTGTAGCTTACGTTGCAATTATCGAGCTCTCTTATCTTTTGTAACTTAGCGATAAGTTCAGTCTGCTGCTACCGCGTAGTTAGCCTTTGCGTGTGTACTTGTACATTATTATACAAGTACACCATGGAGGATGATCTGAATTTGACCCGATCTTAGAAGAAAATCAAGGATTTCAACTACGAAGAAAAGGAAGATGTAGAGGGCTGTGCTGATAGATGGTTCACTTCGATGGCAAGAGAACTGAAATTAGACAACTTCGAAATTCGTGGAGATATGGACCAAGAAATACTCATGTCTCCGTCTATCTATAAAAGGTATATGGCAAACTGGGTTATGCAAGCAGCAGACCTCGTACGACGGCAGAGTAGTCAGATGAGCGCTATGATGGAAATCGTTGAGTGCCTCAAGACGGAAGCACTAGCAGACAAGGAAAAGATGGTCAGGTTGCAGGACCAGTTGCTAGTGCAGAAGGACGAACAACTACAGTTGTTTAAGACGTCAGTTGAAGAGACAGTACAAACAACGGTGGAGACAGGGATTAAGAGCTACAGTGCAGCTGTACAAAAGAACAGCACAAGTGGCGCGGTCTGCAACAGTAAAATTCTGAAGAATGTAATGAAGAGTGTGGCTGCAGAGGAGGACAGGAGCAAGAATCTGATAGTGTTTGGACTGAAAGAAGAGGATGAAGAACAGCTTCCAGCTCTGGTAACCGCACTATTGGAGGAGATCGGGGAGAAACCTCATTTTGAAGCGACTAGAGTCGGCTGGAAGAGGCCAGGTATCACGGCTATCCGACCAGTCAAGATCACCGTCCCAAGCTCAACAGCAGTTCATCAGATTCTGATGAAAACAGGGAGACTGAAGATGGCTGATGCACACAAAAATGTATGGATCTGTCCTGATAGATCCAGTGAAGAGCGTGCAGCAAGGAAGAACGTGGTAACTGACCTGAAGAAGAAGAGGGCTGAACAGACTCATCTCGACCACTACATCCGTAACGGGAAGGTCTGTAGCCGGGTTAAGAAGGCACCATGATGACGTAATTCATGTTTCTCGGACACTGATCAGTATAATATGTACTTGTAGGGGTATTTTAAGAGTTTACGGACGTTATCTGTATTTGAGAGACAATTATATTATATACATACATTATTATTTGATTGTTTCACACTTTTCACATTTCATAATTTCATTACTAGGTGGAGGTGATGTTATTGAGACTTTGGGCGGCCAAAAAACTCCTGTTCCGAAAGTTGTCCTCTGTACTTGTTTCACTGACCCACGCTTTTTAGCATTTATACATTTCGGCCCATTTTATATGTTTGTTCGAATTGCTGTACATTTGTATACTTGCTATTTTGTAAAAGTTTCAAATCAAATCAGTTCCTTCCAATCAAGTTAGTAACCTCAACCAGTTCCTTCCAATCAAGTTAGTAACCTCAACCAGTTCCTTCCAATCAAGTTAGTAACCTCAACCATTTCCTTCCAATCAAGTTAGTAACCTCAACCAGTTCCTTCCAATCAAGTTAATAACCTCAACCAGTTCCTTCCAATCAAGTTAGTTACCTCAACCAGTTCCTTCCAATCAAGTTAGTTACCTCAACCAGTTCCTTCCAATCAAGTTAGTTACCTCAACCAGTTCCTTCCAATCAAGTTAGTTACCTCAACCAGTTCCTTCCAATCAAGTTAGTTACCTCAACCAGTTCCTTCCAATCAAGTTAGTTACCTCAACCAGTTCCTTCCAATCAAGTTAGTTACCTCAACCAGTTCCTTCCAATCAAGTTAGTTACCTCAACCAGTTCCTTCCAATCAAGTTAGTTTGAAACTTTATATCGCATTTTAAATACCAGTATCTGTAATATTGTGTAATATATATAATTTAGTTTTACAGTCACCGAATTATCAGCAAATGATAGACTATACAACTAATTTAAACTAATCTATGATACTCAGACACAAGATAAGGTACTGTGGGTTTGACATGTCCAAGTACTCTAAAACTAAAGATAAGAGACACAACGTGATGGAGAAGCTGGAGGAGATCGCCAAGAACACCTTCAAGAACACAGGATTCTTCCACAATGTCAACATAGACTCTTACCCTGATCAGATAAGAGGTTTTTTGGACGGAGTGGGACAGGACAAGTATGCAGAGACTGCTAAAGGGGCTTATCAGACAGGTAGGAATGTGCTAGGACGCTAAAACACCGTGTATAGTCCTTCAACTATCTTAAACGTAGTATAGTAGTAGTATCTTAAACGCTCGCTAATTTATATACTTGGCTAATATTAAGACGTCTCCTTATGATTAAAACATGACATCTCCTTACTTTTACGATATCTCCTAATTTTCAGGAGCAGTAATACCTTCTCATTTTCAGGGGCAGTAATATCTCCTAATTTTCAGGGGGAGTAATACCTCCTAATTTTTAGGGGCAGTAATATCTCCTAATTTTCAGGAGCAGTAATACCTCCTCATTTTCAGGAGCAGTAATACCTCTTCATTTTCAGGAGCAGTAATACGTCCTCATTTTCAGGAGCACTAATACCTCCTTATTTTCAGGAGCAGTAAGAACGAACTGTGTGGATTGTCTTGACAGGACTAACACGGCTCAGTTTGTGTTGGGGAAGGTAGCACTGGGACATCAGCTAATGGTACTAGGAGTTATTATCTCACCGGAACTGGACGATAACACTCCTTGTATACACTCACTAGAAGTAATTATAACACTCCTTGTATACACTCACTAGAAGTAATTATAACACTCCTTGTATACACTCACTAGAAGTAATTATAACACTCCTTGTATACACTCACTAGAAGTAAGTATAACACTCCTTGTATACACTCACTAGAAGTAATTATAACACTCCTTGTATACACTCACTAGAAGTAATTATAACACTCCTTGTATACACTCACTAGAAGTAATTATAACACTCCTTGTATAAACTCACTAGAAGTAATTATAACACTCCTTGTATACACTCACTAGAAGTAATTATAACACTCCTTGTATAAACTCACTAGAAGTAATTATAACACTCCTTGTATACACTCACTAGAAGTAATTATAACACTCCTTGTATACACTCACTAGAAGTAATTATAACACTCCTTGTATACACTCACTAGAAGTAATTATAACACTCCTTGTATACACTCACTAGAAGTAATTATAACACTCCTTGTATAAACTCACTAGAAGTAATTATAACACTCCTTGTATAAACTCACTAGAAGTAATTATAACACTCCTTGTATACACTCACTAGAAGTAATTATAACACTCCTTGTATAAACTCACTAGAAGTAATTATAACACTCCTTGTATACACTCACTAGAAGTAATTATAACATGATAGACGTAATTGAAAAGTTTGAGTCCACCATAGAGACTTCTCCGAGTTTGTCGTCTACCTCTAACACCGACACGACAAGTACAACGGAGACCTCCAACCAGGATAGAAACACCGGCAAAAGACTATTCAGTTATGTTAAAAGATCAGGCGCATCTTTGCGGAGAAGACTCCTCAACCCACAATTGCACGCAGAGGATAACACTGTAACAAAAACAGAACCTTGCCACCAAAGAAATTGTAAGTGTTGTGCAATGATAGGAAGTGAAAAGTGTTATTGTATTAATGGAGTCAAGATAAGACAAGCTCCAGGGACCTGTTCTAGCTACAACATAGTCTATATATTCATTTGTAAATTATGTCCATCTCCTTTCTGCTATGTTGGACGTACCATTAGGACTTTGCATGAAAGAGTAACCGAACATAGAGCTAACTATTATAAATTATTGAAAGACCCTTCCTTAAAACATAGTGATGATTTTTTATCTGATGATAGTGACACTTACAGTTTAGCAGCTCACCTAATAGACTCACATAACCTTTCCAATAGACCTGATTTTGATGCTTCTTATAATGTTTTTATCCTAAAGAATTCTAGTCCTAGTAATTTAGAAGTTAACGAACATCTACTTATACAAAAACTCAGAACCTTGAAACCTTATGGTATTAATTCATGTGATCCTTTTGGTATGCCACTTTTATTTGAGAATAAAACTTTTGATAATGGTCCTTAAATTATTTCACCCTTAATGCAGGGACTAGTATATTTTTTCCGACTAGTTGGGGCCTCACAACCCCCCATACCCGAGTGCTTCCCATTCCATTTTTGAGAGTTTGGCTTCTTTTTACAGCTAACATCCTTTAGTTCAAATTAAAATTTTCTGATATAATTGGAGTATTAACCCTTATCTTTATTAGGTACTGAAGATGTCCGAAAATGTTTTACCAATGATGTTATAAAGATTTTGTTGGAATTTTTAAACTCATTCGTTGTCTGACTGTGGGAACTATTGATTCTTGATCTGAGTAATTATAACACTCCTTGTATACACTCACTAGAAGTAATTATAACACTCCTTGTATAAACTCACTAGAAGTAATTATAACACTCCTTGTATACACTCACTAGAAGTAATTATAACACTCCTTGTATACACTCACTAGAAGTAATTATAACACTACTTTTATAACATGTTCTACCGGTAGGGCATATTTAAAATTTCTATTGCATCAAAGTTTTCTCCGGATATTCTGCTTCCAGTACCTTGATGGCGACTTGTGTCACTCTCATCGACCTCACTGATTGGTCACTGGTCAAATTTTCAGTCAAAATTGCGAAATTTTGGTCAAGGGGACGGCAGAAAAGCTCCTCTTCAAAAATCTTCCAAAATCTCTTTTTATATTCTGATGATTTTCAGTTTATCAAAGCTTTCTTTGGGAATTCAACTTTGGAGATGGTGAACTTCTTATCCGTATATTTGCCTTCAAGCAGCCCCCTCCCCACCCCCCCCCCCCCCCCCCCCCCCCCCTCCCCCCCCAACTATAACACTCCCTTCAGGAGATATATGAGGATCACGGGGACACAATGGCTCTACAATACGGGGGTTCACAGCTAGTTCACAGAATACGAGGGTACCGCAAAGACAACCCCTGGACCTCTCACTCATACGATATACTCAACACAGTGTCCCGTTATTACCGCAACGCTTTTACAGACTACGAGAAACAGAACGCTATCAACTTGTTCTTAGGTTAATGCAGTAAATGTAGTGTTAGGTTAATGTAGTTCACTTTATTACTCGTTCTTAGGTTTTAAATGTAGTTCACTTTATATTACTAATTTTTCACTTTATTACTAATTTTTAGAGCGAAAAAAGATTATTAATTTTTCATTTAATAATAATTTAAAATTAGGTGTATCTATTTATTTAGTGGTATGTTCTAATGGTATGTAAACTAGCCATTTAACCCATGGAATGTTACAGGTATGTATGAAGTGGGAAAGTCAGCAATGTCTCTGTGGGACCTAACTTCAGACCACTACTTACACCACCTTCCTAATCTGCACTCTTCCAATCCTTACACTTCATGGTGGGACCAGGGTGTCTGGGTTAGTGCTTATTGTTATTATATCCTATATACACGTGATGTCCATATAAGGAGCGGGTACTTGGAGTGGTGAGGCGGTGCTCAGACAGCAGTATACCAGGCAAGGAGGTTGTATATTTCTGGAACCTAACCAAAAGCTCAATTATGTAGTCCTTTAAGACATAAACCATCCATTGAAGTGATTGTGATAAGTTAGTAGTACTGTTAGTTTGATCTATTACCCTTGTCAGGAGAGTTTGCCACTAGCCTCAACCATAACGAGCTGGCACAAGACCCTGAGTGTAATTGACACACAGTACAGAACGTTAAAAGAGAGTGAAGCTGATATGGAGCTAGTTGCACGTGATGCCCATATATGGAATGAAGCTGACATGGAGCTTCCTCTTAAGACAGTTACCAGCCACTTCTTTGACGAGCTGTACAGGTAATATAATAATAAAGTAACACTAATTGTAGTCTTACTGCTAGTATTCAGGTAGTCTGGGATAGAGAGCGGTCCTTATATGGGCATCACGTGGTGAGAATACCCGTGAAGATATAAGATGGTGCTCTCAAATTCCTGGAATTTGATAGATACTACATACATATAGTATTTACTTGGTACTATAAATTCGTGTGAATTGAAACTCGTATCACGTATGATGACACTTCAGAACTATTAAATAATTCAAATTGCAAGTGTGCGCTAATTGATCACGTGACTACTGTATATTATGAACGTATCTCTTATGTACGTGATGTTAAATGTGGTCACATGACTAAATGATCGTGTATGTGTCACGTGACTAACAAACTCTAATTAAGTCATACTCATATCTTTAGAAATCATTAAAACGTCATCCCTAATATCATTCACACTCAACTATCTTGAGTTAACAATAAACATCCTAAAGATATTATAAGTCTACAACGAAGATCAGTAAAACATATTAAATGGCAATTACTTAAATACTAAAACATAAAACGTGTTTATACATATCTTTAGTACATAAACATAATATACTTGAACTATATTTTATACATAATTAAAATAATTTTCTCCATAAAATACGATTCAAGGCAATATGTCTCAGTTCAGTCAAATCTTTTGCATTATTTAATTTTTTACTTCTTTTATTAAGGTCACTCAAAATAGTTTTTAAAAGTTTACTTTTACTGCCAATACTACCCTTCATAGTTAGCATATTACTAACAGCAAAGGCAAGAGCTAACTAGTAACTGCCTTTGCTGTGTTTATAAATGTTTATAAACACAAATGTGTCTCACAGTGATGGAGTTCTGCATCTTTTTCCAGGGTATTCATTCAATGAGGCTGATCGTTTCTGATTCTGAAATGGTGATTTTATTTTTTAGTGACATATTATATTTGGTATATATAATATATATGGTTCTATATATATAATACTACATAGTTTCTGGTAATCAGCAAAGTTAATGTTAAGAATGCAAAAGTAAATTTGATAACAGTCAAATTACAAATAAGTTAAACAATAACAATGTGTGTATCAACAGTTGAAGGATTTTTCAGGAATTCAGAAAAATAGAAGAACACAGGATATCATAAAAGTACTTTAAAAAGTGGACATTTTTTCTAACCTTAAATTCTCAATAATTGGTTGCCAACATTCGTATAGTCTTTTTGCAGCATCGTGTTTGTTCCTGGGGTTGGTTATTATTAGATTTAATTTAGGATACATTATCATTTGACGTTTTCAAGATCTTCTCGCTTTTGCCATTTGAACTGGAAAGCGCCAGATTTCTGGTAGGTTTCTAATATTTGCTTGACTATATTATCAAGTGTTAATGTTGTTAGATTGAGCTGGATTCTACCTACGTCACCTCACAATAGTATTAAGTGTACCAACTCAAATTAATAATAGGTACCTACCGTAATTGTAGTACCTGAAAATAGGGTAAAAAACGAACACAAAGAAGTTCGCTTTTGTGTTATGGCTGGGTTAATTTCAACAGCTTAAAATATATAAGCCTGTATATAATGTTAATATTTATTGGATATTGATTGAACAGTTTTGTTTAAATAAGTCAACAAAAAGAATATTCTTCCGCTTTTTGTACCCCCACCTTAGTGCCCTATTAGTGCCCACTGCCCTCAGCTCATCAAACACTTCACATCGTGTCTTGTCAGTTCAACAGTTCGTTCCCGCTGCGCTAGGGTCTGAATTCTGAAATAAATTGCTTTACTATTAGAGCTTTTCATTATAAATAAAAACGAGGTCTCCATGTTATAATAACATTGCATTAAAACTTTGTTAAATCTTTGATTTTAAATTGATTTTAAATTCTATTTTGCTTTTTCAAATGAACCTGAATAAAGAAATTAGGTTGTTACTGTTCCCTGTGTTGAGATCTCAGGGCAGGTTACCTCGATAACTTTTCCGGAGGCTTCTGGAGACTGAATTTCTGTCGTCATACTTATTCACTAAGGACACTCTGGTGTAAATTAACTTATTAAGATATCTAAGTTAGAATGCCGTATCGTCATCAGCTGTAGTTTTTATTCAATTAGTCTTCTATAGTAATGGACTCTTCCCCCTATTTTATTTTTCCCCCCTTAGCTTTCGTCGGTTCTGATGAGATCTTTTGCCTGGCTGTATGAAATATAAAGGGTTTAGTAATCCTTTTGTGGTGATGCTATGGTTATTTAGCATTTTTACTGTTTCAATACCTGGATGTAGACACTCGGGTTCTTTAAATTGGAAAATAAATTCCGTTCCTGAGTTGCAGGTCACCTCGCTGCTCCCTTTATTGAGAGCTCCAGAGTCCGAGCATGTCACTTCCACCACAGTTCCTGGGATTACTGGGAACTGTGTTGTTGTTCTGATCGTAGTTGACCACTCATCTTTCAGTCCCGTGCAGCTCACTGTAGATATATCATATTGAATCACGTTGACCTGATTAATTTGGTTGTGTGATACAATAATTATAACCGTTATTTTAACAGTTCTATCCGGCACGATTATATTTCCTTTCCCAACCCGAACCCTTTCAAGCAACCAGCTCTAACATAACTATACCATTGCTTGCTCAGGGGTCCGAGTCTCAAATACTGTGTAACAATAGTATAAGCTTCTAAGTTATCTTACCACAGGCAGTTTTGTCAGTGTTTGATGTCCGTCCTGCGTCACATGTGTCACATCTTGTCATATCTTTGTTCTTGTAGCTTCCAGCTGGACACTCAGCTGAAAAATAAGGAAGTAGTTAGAACATAATGTGATATAAAATATAGAAATATAAATAATACAGAATGCCCTAAATTACCCCCTGGTCCTTAGATAAGAATCCTTACCACACGCAGTCCTCCCTAAGTTTCGTTCCTGGCCAGGGTCACAAGCTGTACACAAGGCTGCTCCTTCTGAACTGATCATATTATCAGGACATTCTACACACGTGTTCATGTCAATATTCTTGTAGCTTCCAGGTGGACATGATTCTGAAGAAATTGGAAATCTTTAAACAGCAGATCGTTTGAATCACCATATTGAAAAGTTATTTTAAGTACAATTTATATTCTCGATTTTTGAACAAGTGAAGCTCCTATTCTTTTAACATGTACGGCGTACGCACAATCATGATTGTTAAAGGGGTCACAATTTTGAGTATGTATCATATTCATATTTCATAGTTTTAACAACTATACGAACAAGTTTTTAACTAACCCTTTCGGCTTTCAAGCAACCAGCTCTAACATATCATAATGTGATATAAAATATAGAAATATAAATAATACAGAATGCCCTAAATTACCCCCTGGTCCTTAGATAAGAATCCTTACCACACGCAGTCCTCCCTAAGTTTCGTTCCTGGCCAGGGTCACAAGTTGTACACGAGGCTGCTCCTTCTGAACTGATCATATTATCAGGACATTCTTCACACGTGTTCATATCAATATTCTTGTAGCTTCCAGGTGGACATGATTCTGAAGAAATTGGAAATCTTTAAACAGCAATTCGTTTGAATCACCATATTGAAAAGTTATTTTAAGTACAATTTATATTCTCGATTTTTGAACAAGTGAAGCTCCTATTCTTTTAACATGTACGGCGTACGCACAATCATGATTGTTAAAGGGGTCACAATTTTGAGTATGTATCATATTCATATTTCATAGTTTTAACAACTATACGAACAAGTTTTTAACTAACCCTTTCGGTTTTCAAGCAACCAGCTCTAACATATCATAATGTGATATAAAATATAGAAATATAAATAATACAGAATGCCCTGAATTATCCCCTGGGCCTAAGATAAGAATCCTTACCACACGCAGTCCTCCCTAAGTTTCGTTCCTGGCCATGTTCACAAGTTGTACACAATGCTGCTCCTTCTGAACTGATCATATTATCAGGACATTCTTCACACGTGTTCATGTCAATATTCTTGTAGCTTCCAGGTGGACATGACTCTGAAGAAATTGGAAATCTTTTAGCAGCAGATCGTTTGAATCACCATATTGAAAAGTTATTTTAAGTACAATTTATACCCTCGCCTCGGCTTTTGAACAAGTGAAGCTCCTATTCTTTTTACATGTACACACACTCATGATTGTTAAAGGGGTGACAATTTTGAGTATGTATCATATTCATATTTTTTTTAATGTACAAACAAGTTTTTAACTAACCCTTTCAAGCAACCAGCTCTAACATAACTATGCCATTGCTTGCTCGGGGGTCCGAGTCTCAAATACTGTGTAACAATAGTATAAGCTTCTAAGTTATCTTACCACAGGCAGTTTTGTCAGTGTTTGATGTCCGTCCTGCGTCACATGTGTCACAGCTTGTCATATCTTTGTTCTTGTAGCTTCCAGCTGGACACTCAGCTGAAAAAACACAGATTGAGAAGTTTTCATGGCTTGAAGCCATTTTCAAAGTGGCTGACTTCAACAAGTCCAACAATTGGTTTCTATGACTAATAATCATATCACTAGTACAATCCACCCGGTTCTGAATTGACTCAGATTTAAGGACCCCATCGTAACCCTTACCCCAATCTCACACTTGCCGGGTCTTGACAAGAATACTTACCACAAGCACAATCTGAGTTTGATTCTTTGCTAATGTTACATCGTTCGCAGAACTTTTAAAAAAAGTATGTGCGGCTATAGTTGTCATTTTAAAATTGTAATATATTACTTTGCCGAACTTTATTTGAACGGACATTGATTGGACGCTGGAGGCCCTAGCTTTTATTTTAATGTCCGTTCAAATAAAATGTGTACAAGTCAAACTTCTTTAACAGTTTTCCCAAAAGTGTTCCACTACGAACTTATTGTCCAGAACATGACTACATTTAAAACTTAACAATAGTATAAGCTTCCAAGTTATCTTACCACAGGCAGTTTTGTCAGTATTTGTTGTCCATCCTGCGTCACATGTGTCACAGCTTGTCATAGCACCATCCCGATATGTTCCTTCTCCACACAGCTCTGAAATTATAACGGTACAAATTGCACTGGTTTCTGGACGATAAGGAAATCGTTATATAAGTACATTTCAGTCGTGATACAGAACTGAAAAATAAGGAATAGAAGTAGTTAGAACATAATGAGCTATAAAATATAGAAATATGAATAATACAGAATGCCCTGAATTTAATAAAACAAAAGTTAGTAAAGCAAAAGTTAAATTTATTACCAATTATTCAATCAATACATATCATAAATTCTAATATATTGGAAACACAATGCAGAATGGATGTCTTAAACTACCCCCTGGGCCTAAGATAAGAATCCTTACCACACGCAGTCCTCCCTAAGTTTCGTTCCTGGCCAGGGTCACAAGTTGTACACAATGCTGCTCCTTCTGAACTGATTGTGTTATCAGGACATTCTTCACACGTGTTCATATCAATATTCTTGTAGCTTCCAAGTGGACATGACTCTGAAGAAATTGGAAATCTTTTAGCAACAATTCGTTTAAACTACCTTATTAAGAAGTTATTGTGAGTACCAATATCATCGGTTTTCATTTTATAGCTCATTTAATTCAAATTTAAAACATAACAATAATATTAAATGTAAGCTTTAAAGTTATCTTACCACAGGCTGTTTTGTCAGAGTTTGGTGTCAATCCAGCGTCACATGTCTCACAGCTTGTCATAGCATTATTCCGATATGTTCCTTCTCCACACGGCTCTGGAATTATAACATTACAACTGCCAAATCGTAGTTGAAGATAAGAAAATCGTTATTATCTTACTTATAATTCAGAGAATTCTTTTTGTAGAATGTATGTCTGTTCGACCGCCCACGTGCAAATCAGACGAGAAATAGGAAGTTGCGTAGTTACCATGGTAACGATGATTGTTACACGCACGTGCACGTGCAATGATTGTTTTAACGTCATTTTGATCAGTTTTGTTGATATTACGCTGTGTTTAGTACTTTAGTACGAGCAACATTTCAATTGGCTGTATCTTCGGTTGTGTAGGATATTTTTTGATGCGATTTAAACTTACTAACAAAAAATACTATCAATATTAGCTTCCTCCCTGTGACCACGGGTTTTCTAGTAATTATATAATATAAGTACTAAAGAACAGTTCAGATGTGTTACAATAACATTAGATTTAAAACAATATGTGAAAATAGAATTATTACCAAATACCACCCAGACTCTTATGGTTCTTGTATTTTCGTACCACAAATTTGCCTTCTTGATTCTAAGCCCAATACTAATTCAAATTGTTATCAGTCATTAGGGTTATCGCTAAAAATTCGCCTCATCAACAAACTATGAAGCACATTGCACAATGCACATACTGTTTAAACTCTGCAAAATAAATATTGAACCAAACCAGTTTTGAGTTTGTTTGGTAAAATACCTTACTGTTTATGTTCAAGATGTTTTGTAAAAACATCAGTTTTCAATTGACAATTGTTTTAACCTTTAGTAGCTGAAAATTAAATGACTTTAAGAAATTAAATGGCTTCAAAATTAAATGGCTTCAAAATTAAATGGCTTGTTTTCATGATGCAATGTCTACTACGAAATATGCAATATTTCTAAATTATAGTTAGCTATTTTGCAATCTGCTATCGCCAATATGATTATAACTCTGCCTTCAGTGAAAGAATGTGATTTTATCTCATTCGGAGAACAGTAATTGATAACATTTTGACCACTTCATTGAGTTACTAGAAAACCCGAGGTCACAGGGAGGAAGCTAATAGTATTTTTTGTTAGTAAGTTTAAAAACGCGTCAAAAAATATTCTACACAAGTACACAACTGAAGATACAGCCAATTAAAATGTTGCTCGTACTTAACACAGCGTAATATCAACAAAACCGATCAAAAGGACGTTACAATAATCATTGTACGTGCACGTGCGTGTAATAACCCTCGTTACCCTGGTTACTACGCAAATTCATATTTTTCGTTTGATTTGCACGTGGGCGGTCGTACATAATTATAAATAATTCTCTGAATTATAGTAGAGATAAGATGAATAACAATATGCTAACTATCCTATATCCCATATCCTATATATTATGTGTTATATTATGCTAAATAACACACTTGAAATTTAGACAGAAAACACGTAATCACGAGCTTACGAGAGAATCAGCAAGTTAGTTTATTTATAAATTAAAGTTTAAATTGTTACTTTGTTAAACCAATGCTTGTTGTTATTAGTCACCTGGTTGTGGTCGGTAGTAATCAGATGCTGTGTCGGCGTTTAAGAACTCTATTTTTGTCACGTCTCTGTTCCAGTACGTGCTCCACTTACTGTCACTACACGTTGCTTGAGAGAGCAGTTTGTTGAGCACCTCCACGTCGTTACAGTGTATCACTACTCTAACACCTGCAGTTCTGGTTAGAGTGATACGCCACACATTGTCAGAAGCAGAGGGGGGATTAACAGGGAGGATAGTGTAGGACATGCTGCACCAGTTGAGATAGTATTGTGGAGTAGAGCCGGCGAAGTAGAGCCAGACTGCTCCTGCTCCTACATTCTCTCCCCCAGCAGAGTCGAACGACACATACACCCTATCGCCATCCCCCTGCACACTATTAGTTTTTACTTCTAAAGGTGTCGACTCAAGATCCCACTCTATTTTCACCCCACGTTCGACTGATAACCAACCTGTTAATTGTACATATGTTTAACTCATAACTACTGAGCAACGATTTATGAATATCATGAATTTAAAGAAGAGGTGTTCTAGCAAAATTGTAAAGGAATTGTAAGACATAGTTTATTCTCAGAATTTAAGGGCCCGACTATATTATGACTGTTGTCACCACGACTGTTGTCACCATGACTGTTGTCATAGTGCGGTCAGATGTAATCCCAACAGGCACGACAGTCATGACCAGAGGCACGTAGTGTGTTTAGAGGGCGTGCCAAGGATACGTGACAACTCCTCAGGCACGTCGGGCACGTTTTTTCAAAAGCCGTGCCTAGCTAAAAATCCGTGCCTGACGTGACTGTAGGCACAGTTTGTTCAGTACTCGTGCCAACTGTCATGAGATAATAATTCTTATAATTATCAACTTAATTTTTGGCGGCTATGACTTTAATAAAGGCCCTACGGTTTACTTTTTTTACAAGATGGTTTGTACAGTGGGGAGACGTATATTATCTTATATTGGTTCTTTTTGTCAAGAAACTGAGAAAAATTACACTTTTAACTACATCCGATTTAGCATAGTACTTATCATGTTTCTTCTTGTGGATTGACAATTTCATGACCTTCTCAGTCTGTGCTGGAGCAATACCGGCCATAATACTACATATTAATGCTTTTCATACAAAGTTACAACGAATTCTTCGAGTAGTGCATCCTGGGTTTGGACAGGATATGCCCGCTTAAAATATTTCCATTACGTTACATTACATAATTCTCAATAAATATAATAGATTTGTAGTGCTGCAATTAGTTTAAAACTATAGTACCAACGGCCCGAAACGACAATTTTTGAATTTTTAAATCAGTGATCCGGATGCAAAGTTTTGGTAAAATTAAAATTATTGGTTAAAGACTGTTTGTGCTGTTTTACAAATTAAAATTGCCAATATATATTATATATGGCACCCCACTGTACTATATTTAAATTTTTGTTAGGACAATCCTTGTTGTCATGATTTAACTATTTGTGGTCTGGTTTTTTGACGATTTTTCGAGGTCTAAGATTTTTAAAATAGAATAATAAATCCCTGATATTTGGGTTAATTCTAACTCTCCAGAATAATAAATGTTTAAAGGCCTATCTCAAAATTTTGCCAAGACAATCTCTCATAATTTATCCTTAGAACATATCCTAAAAGTTTGAGAATGATTGCTCAAAAAATGTAGGAGAAGATAGATTTTTAGACTCGAATTTCAGGGCACGAGATCAAAAATTGCTCGGGAATACAATTACACACAAGCGCTGAAGCGCTGACCTTTTACCAGCGATAATTTCTGCTAGGAGGAATATTTTTCTATCGGATTAAATGCATCTGATAGATATCACTCCCCTCTAGGAAATGCCGAGAAGGAAATGGCTCTACGCTGTAAATAGGACATCTGAAGGCGGCGCCCCTGTCTGTAGTCAATAGCTGTAGAGTTGAACAAGGGCTCAAGGGGCAATAATTTGCAAAATCACGCTTATCCAATTTATTATAACTTTGCACTTTATAGTTATACTTAACTTACCATTTTCGTCAACAGCAGAGGCTCCCCCAATGAACACAGTCATGATCAAGATGGTCAAGATGTCCTTGGTGCTGACCAGCTGTGAACGTTTTGGGAACCCAATGGTTCACCTTCATCTTGTAAACGAATAAAGTAGGCTTTCGCACGCCTTCTTCGGTTGAGCTATTGAATTGGACGCAAAAGCAAAGGGTTGAACTAAGTTGTGGTGACCTTAGACAGAGCTTGCTCTCAGTATCACGGCTAATGGACCGCAGATCGTTCGCATTAGTCCTGGACACGTACTAGCAATCCACCAATTATTGCTACGATGGGCTAATGTTCGACTAACTATTACGCAGAAGGTTAGTTCCTAAAATGCTAATGCTATTCAAAGAGGACGCTAGTAGCCAGATCATAGTTTTAAGCATCTATTTCTAGAAAACAACGTACCCAAGAGCTCTCAGCTTAGGACAATATTGTCGGGACGGCGCCAAACTCTCTCTCCACCGAATTAAAGATCGATGTTTAAGAAAGAATTATAAGCCTATTGTCAAGAACTAAACGGAGGCTTTAACACGGCTTCATCGGCCGTCTGGTCAAATAATATAGTGTGGAGCTGCTGAATTGAACGTCTAGACAAACGGTTGATCCAAGATGACGTGGTGATCGTATAAGAGAGCTTGCCCTCATGGCTAATAATATTGGCTAATGCTACAGCAGATGCTAATCGGATATTTACTAACTATTGCCCTGAGCCAATCCTTGTCTTCTTAACTCTGAGAGCCCTGGTTGGTGGGATGGCTCTATTTTAAGGTACGATATGGGCTAATGGTAGACTAACTCTGCAAGGAAGAGATGTAAGAAAATGACAAGTGTTGCGTCCCTAAAGCTGTGATGTTACTCAGTAAGGTCACCAGTAACAAGGTCATAGTTTTAAGCTTATATTTTAAGTAAATGATAACAGCAAAATATGCACCCACACGCTCTCAGGTCAGACGTTTCTAAGCATACAGATCAGACTTTGAGCAAAGATGCCATAGCAAGGAATACAAGGAATACAAGGAATACAAATTAAGATAATAACAATATCATAAGATTTAGATTTAATTATTAATATAATTTACTAAAAAGAAAAAGAAAGATTTTGAAAATAAATATTTTGTTTACAGTTCCCTTGTTAATGCTTGTGCCAGGCCTTTGCACTCGTTGTTGCGCGAAAATACGCCAAGAAACTAATGTATTACTGTTACAGTGTTTAGTGAAAGCAAATACAAAATGAATTGGTACAAGATAGCGCTGGTACAGTAATTTTCATGTACTGGCCAGAGAGTCGACGAATTTCTTGCGGTTGTTAATACACGTAGTAACAAATCTAGCAACGACTCTCGTGAGGTGGACTTGACTTTCGTTCGTGATTAATTCAATGATTTCACTGTAGTTGCTGATGAGTTTGTGGACGTTTGCTCCAGGGACGACAGTGTGAAGAGGATAAGATGTCGCAGATGGTGTGTTTGGATTTGATATGATTGACTGGATCTTGTCTAGGACTTTTCGCCTCGATGTAGCGTTACGATCACAATGGAATATGGATAAGGAAGTGATCTTCATTTTTAATGATACCAGAACATGAATAATGTTATAGTCTGTGAAGCCTGAGACATCTTAAAATGTCATGAGTATAACTTACTCCAACAATAATACTTTGTATCATGATATCAGAATATTGACTTCACAAGCCACAGCTGAGTGGAGCAAATAAATTTCAATCAGGTTTCATAATTTCATGATATTTTGTACGTTTATTTACTCAGCAAAACAACTCTTGAGATGACTCAAGCTATTTTAAAACAATCATTATCTTTTTTAACCATATTATACTATAATTTAACTACACACTCATAAACAGAAATTGAGAACTACAAATATTTTCATCCGAGGAGCTTCACCTAAATATAGATAAAATTAACCACTTTTACATCTGATCTTAAATGTCATGTTATGAACCACCAACTTTTCGGCTTCCTCCCAGTTGGAGGTAGGATGCATTATATTGGTGGAAAAATTGAATCCTCAAAATGTCTTCCATACTCTATATTGTAAGCCTAACTATCAGCGTTCAATAAAACTCTCAATACTTCAGATAGAAATGTTGGGAATTATCTCTTCCTTATGAAGAAGGCAATTGCTTACAAGTTACAATTATTTTCGAATCATGGTCTTCAACCCTTTTGTGGCTTCTTCCAAACCACTCTTCGATGACTTCACGATACTTATATACTATTCTTCTCCACAAACATTGCCAGATACTCTTCCTCATTTTTATACTGTCTAAGCGGGAAACGTACAGTATTTCAAATAACACCGTGACAAAAGCTATTACAGCTCCAACACCTAAAATAAGGAACAGTCCCGCTAAAATGGGGATACCAAATTTAGCATCACTGCCAACCGAAGAAGAACAAGTCGATATGTTCTCATCAGCGGAGTTATACCATTCGTCAAATTTGGTGGTAAACCAACCTTTCTCACGGTATTGTAGGAACATGCTGTTGATGAGTGCTGAATATGGTGAATTTACTTGTGTTCCAAATGCCCACTGGTTGTTGAACTTGCCTGTTTTCGTAAGTGCAGCTTGACAGTCTCCCCTGAAATTGAAAGTAAGCACAGAGCTGTCATCAATGAAGACAAAACCACCTTTTTTAACTCTTGCAATGCCTTCATCTAGATTTTCCAATCCGACTCCACTGGTCACAATTTTATTGTATGTGTTATCCTCATGATCAGACATCATGGTCTGAAGATTGCGATCATTTATAAGTCCCCACTTATAGTCTCCCTGGTTCAACAGATCGTTTAGTTTGGTAATTGTTGCGGTAGAACGATCCAGCGTCAGATGGGCAGTTAGATTTGCCGTGTACATTGAGGTGAGAATCATGATGAAGAGCCACCACATGAAAAGAAGGAAGCGTCCAGACGGTGCAGTAGGAAGTGTGTCAGTCCCCTGCAGAACAAAACCTGAAAAACAGTGTACATCATAATAATATGCTACATATTATAGCGGTCTATGGTCGTGCTGAATTATTTATTGATACCACTAATACAAAGTTGAAGTTCTCTGATCATGTTGAATCATAAGTTGAGTATTCTACAATCGAACCTGTTCCAATAAGCCATGTTGAGTTGTAGTAAGAGAGCTCGTTCATCTCATCGTCCTTCTCCACTTTTTCCACCAAACAACTATATTTCTTCGTGTCAACAAACCTACACTTCTCAGCCACTTTTATTTCTCTCCTTAGCACACATTTGGCACATGGACAACTCTGCATAGCGTGGATAGTCCTGCCATATTTTCCGAAAGGAGAGAACTTACTGAAAAATGTGGTTAAAAGAGCGATCACCAGGATTAGGCCAATGATACTTATCCACACTGATAACTCGAAGGGTTCCAGGAAAAAGAACATGTTCGATGAACTTTTGGAAGTCTTAGTATGAACAATGAACGCAGCCTGATCCTCATAGAAAGAAGCAGTGTAGTCAATGTATTTTGACCGCTCAGTATTTATTGACACAGCTATGGTCAAGTCTGTTTTTCTGTCCAGAATGTCTCTAATCATTCCATTCCATTCTTTTGTTTCCTTGTTCCAGCCACCAAATTTATTATCTGCCGGCTGAACATATTCGTACGTGAAGTTTAGGTCTTCCTGAAGTTTTTGGAAGATATCAGGATTCCAGCCGTACCAGCAGTCAGGACTAGAATTATTACCACATTTCTCGTCGAAAAACGCAATCGGTGGTTCTGGAACTATGCCGATTCGAAGGTGATAGCCAGTGAGCATGTTCCCTATTCCACTGGGAGGTGAGTACTTACCGCCACTAAATAGAACATCTTGTCTGTCAACCCAACGTGATACTGTTTCGTCTTTACCAAGGTTAACAAGACCACTGGAATTTTCCCATTTCCCAATCTTCTCAAAGCCCTTTTCTTGGAAGTTCAATATGTCATACGTCGGAATGACCACCCCAGAGTTGTCATATGCTCCGTTTTGGAAATTCTCATCAATCTTGCTGAAGAGTTCTTCACCACCAACCCAGTAAGAAGGTGATTTACAGCTAACAGACGGAGAGTTGTCCCATTCACCTTCATCAAGCTCTTTTAGAGAGGAATGGACGATTTCTAGACCCATAGAAACTTTCACCGATGACATGCGCAAATCCGAGGATCTACCACCACTCATAATGTATGCATTTGCCAGATCGTTGTATTGTGTGGAACCTTTTCCATAGTGAGGCAGCGTTCCTATCAATCCTTGATAGAAGGAAGGGTAGGACAAGTCATCATAGGCCATTGTTTCTGGTTTAGATGTGATCGCATCTGTCGTTATCCAGACAAATGATTCCTCCATCAAGCCCTTTCTTTCGGCTTCCCTGAAAATAGATAATTGTGCTTAATTTAGATTCAGTTATTCGATCAAACAAGTAAAATTATATTATGTGGTTCAATTATTGCAAAGTTAAGTTTAAATCTACCAGCCTGCTGATAGACTCTCAGTTTCGGCTAAAAAGGATTCACAAAAAATGTTACATACAAGCAAATAAGCCAAAAAGTATCTCACCTAAATATAATTTTTGCGAACTTTCCATCACAGTTTAGGACAATAACCTTGGCTATCGAATCTTTGATCAGTTGAAGCTCTTTTTCAAAGAAAGAAGAATTTTCTGAATCTGACAGATCCTTTCTTACATCAAAATGTTGGATGTCCCTAATGCTGAAGTTGTCATCTTGTGAAGCCAGATATTGCAAGTTCACGATGCTGTTAATCCCGTAATCGTCTGCCGATGCCAGAATTGAGAATTGGTACCAATTGTACTCCTTCAACAAGTCGAATATAGCTTGACTCTGATATACGTCTGATGGTGAAAGTGCCAGTTCAAAGTTTTCCTTAGAGGGAGATTTGAGAAAAGGATTCGTAGCCACCGCAGCAACAAGTGGAACATGAAACTGACTTGCCAAATTCACCTGAATCGCCGTTAAAGTTGAATCGGACCCAGATATGATAGCCACAACATTTTCATCAATAAGTTCACAAACACTGTTCATGAGGTTCAGGTATATCGAGTCATGGTATCGTTCTACCAGTTGCAGTTTGGTGTTGGATTTGTTTTGTTTTGAGATGGTGTATTGGGCGAGGCTTTTGATGGCATTGGACTCATCCTGCTCTTCGGAGTTCAACAAGAGACCAACTTTGTATGGTTGCCCAATCGAGGTTACTATAAAAAATAGGATATAACGAAGAAGCCCAGACATAACTCCTGTAGAAATACAGATATAACAACTATTAGCTGGTAATGGGTGATCAACCGTGTTGATGAGATAATATACAATATCTGGATATCTGAATTCTAGTGGGGGATGAGCCATATTTCCTGACACGTGACAATTATTCATGGGTTTTATTGGCCAAGTGTGGAAGATGATTTATTGCTGTCGAGTGTCGCGTGATCTAGATAGTTAATTACAGTAGAGAATCACAGATAACTACTGCTGGTTATCGTTCGTTCTATTGATAAATGAAATGGTGACGACTTAAAACAAAAGATTAAAACAATATTTAATCAAAATCATTCAATTAGCTAATTACAATATCCGGGTTGAAGTTGACTGGAACATTCCAATCCACAGCTTGTTATTTTACACCGACAGTAAACTGAATCTATAGTAAACTATGCAAACTAATAAAGTTTACAATTTATAAAATGTTAAGCCTCATCTCGGAGAACACTGAGGAGACTGCAAATGTTCCAATGTAATGTTGAGATTTCCTAATTTTTCAATATTTGGCACGTTATCAATTCATTATCATAATATCAAAATCTTGTTTTCTTTTTTCAGAACCATTTCAGACAGTTACTCAGCAAAATAATTCTTGAAGTAACTCATATGACTTATTATAACAATCATTGTTTGTTTTGACCGAATATTCTAAAAAATATAATTCTCATTTAATTAGGTTTACAACTACTCATAAAAATAACAATGTAGCAACATCAGACGTGTTACAAGTTTCAATACATGGTATCAAAACACACGAATTAGTGTTGAACTATCTATCAAATTCCTTCCGGGATATTACCAACGGCTCTATCAGTCTATACCGCGACCGTATCCCGGCTAGTTTCATTCAATATCTGGGATTATGACGTCATAATCACCAAACATTGAGCTAAAACAGTTTTTTATCTTTAACTTTGGAAATTATAACCGAATTTTATATTTCAGGCCGACAATGCTGACCTCGTTCGAGGAGCATTATTGTCTTTTCATGCCGTCTACTGCAAAGGAAGCTGGCCTCTGTTCTCCTTTTAGTGTAAGTAACTTACTTCTTTCTTGATTTTTAGCTGGATTAAATATTTTCTTACTCTGTTAATGCAGGTTCTTACACCACCTTTGTCAGTTTGTTGTCACGTGTTCAGACGACCCACCAGTTTGTCCGGTTTAATCTCCCCCCTCCGCCCAAATGACCTGTACAAATCCCCTTTTCAGCAAGTCCGACCTAAAGTGATGTCAAGAAGTCTGAGTGTCCGAACAAAGCCAGTATCATCCTATCTTAACAAACAGAACAATACCGACTCTGACTCCACCAGCGACTCTGATTTCTCTGGTAATTTTAATGAAATTAATGTGCTTGTATAGTGTAATTATAAATTATAATCCATATGGATAGAAACCGTGTGCCAGAGAACCATATTACAGCGGTTCTCAACGGTGGAAATATTCAGCAAAAAAAACAACTCATTTCACCTCAAAAACAGATCTTTTCAGAAAATATCATTTCTTTTATATATGTAGGAATCATAGGAAGTTTTATTGATATATAACACCTTGTTAATCAGATGAAGAAGAGTCGTTGGGAGTTGTTAGTGAGACAGCAGAAACAGAAAGCTCGTCAAGTCCGACCCCCAACATTCTGCCAGTTCTAATAATTCCGGCTCCAAATCATTACGATAAGGAATTGTACCGACAGTATTCTGCTGACAGCACCTACTTGCAGCGGGGGCTAGGTAAATTATTTTATTAATTTATAATTCATTTTCGAATTTATTTCTAAATTGATTTACTTATTGATTTGTAAGTTATTTTCTGTAAGGATGGTATATAATTATTGCTTTATTGTCTATTATGAAATTTCTCCGCCTTCCTACCATTTTGTCCATACTGGTCCACCGAGGATGTGTTTGTTTATACCTTCGGCTAAAATCATAATATATTACAGGGAATTTTAGTTTGTCGGCTCCGTCGTTGGTGCGCAATGACTATCGCAAAGCACGGATACGCCCCGCACCTGTAGCAGACTCTTACATCTCTCCCAACACTCGACTACTATACGCCAAACAAACACGTGACATCTCTTTAGCCAGTGATACTGCGCAGTTCTATTCCAAATATTGCTCCTTTGACACTAGCACTTTGGTCGCTTAGAGAAACCGCTACTTATAGTTCAGTGAAACTATAAATTTCTAGAAAATGTAGAGTAAAATTGTGATTTCTGTGAACAATCCTTGGTCTTAGTGAAGCCTTGGAACCTTTGACCTTTCTTCAGATATTGAGCAATATATCTTAAAACTTGGTATGTAATTTGAAAGCAGTAATTGTCTGATTCTGAATATAGTAGAGTGTTATTCATTTTATTGGTAGAAACTTCATTTAGTTTTTGATTTTACTATATCTAAAGAATTTAAGTTTATCTATTTATTGGTTAAACTGCTGGCAGTTTTCACTCTTTGAAGGACACAATATACTGGTGTTTTATTTGCCGCACAGATCTTTTTATTTCAGATTTTTGTGAGTGACTTTGATTTTTGTGTAAATTTATCCTGTATTTAACAATTTCTTGGATTTAATATCGTGATGAAACATATTGTCTTCTTTGTTAACTGGTCTTTGAGTACTAGCCACTAGGACATCTAATTTACAGCAACTTATTAATTTGTCTTATACCGTAGACACTGTCCTCGGTTATTCTTGATAAATTTACACTTTTAGGATCATGTCAAATTACAGAAGTATCGACTTCAAAGTATTTGGAAGAGTACAGGGGGTAAGTAGCAGCAGTAAAACCCTGATTTACCGTGGAGTTTGGGAGACAGCAAAAAGCCGCGGTAAATCGGGGTTTGCGGTAAATCGGGGTTTGCGATAAATCGGGGTTTGCGATAAATCGGGGTTTTACTGTAGTAAGGCGGGGTAATACATTTCTACTTTATCATATTCGTCGTGATAACTAATAGCTGTAACATGTGGTGCCATCTGAAAACAAGTTAAATCTTACGGAATATCTTTGTTGATAATTATATTTTGATAATAACGGGTGTTTGAGTTGCTTTTTTTCATTCATTGGACAGTACTCTCCTTTGAATGAAATGCTGGAATCGTGCCAGGTTTCAGACACAGCGATTCGAATACATCAACGGACTCCGTATTTACCATCTCCAATAAAAAGTGAGCATGATGACATACCAGCAGAATGTACGGAGTTTAAAGAACAAATTGACAGTTGCTATGAGGAAATTGTACACTGGAAAAAGAATATTTTTGAGCCCCCAACATGTAAGATAGGGAGGGAATTTGTAAAGGAATTATCTACGTGGCTTGAACATTTTAATATAGGATCAGTTTATCAGTGTTCATCAATCAAAACATTTATTGTCCTTCCTGCTCTGCTTCTGCAAAAGCCATCCGCAAAAAGTAAAAAAGCTGAACATAAAGTCCTGTTGAAAAAACGGTTAGAATTATGGAGGCAGGGGAATATTTCTGCACTTATGAGGGAAGCAAGAACTATACAACGACAACTAGCGAGGAGCTCTCGGAAGCAAGAAAAGGATTGTGCGAGAACATTTGCCAACCTCATGTTTGAAGGGAAAGTCAGCTCTGCGGTGCGCATGTTGTGTGATAACGATAACAAAGGAATACTAGAAATGTCTACAGAGACTATGGACCAGCTATTGAAGAAGCATCCAGAACCAATGCCTATAGTGGAGAATAGTTTACTTTTTGGACCGATCGAAGAAATAGAAGAATCGTTGTTTTATAATATAGACGAGACAATGGTATTTAGGGCGGCAAAATTTACTAACGGTTCTGCTGGACCATCACAAACTGATGCTGATTTTTTTAGATTCATTTTGACGCATAAGAATTTTAAAGAAGAGGGAAAGAAACTGAGAGATGAGATTGCTAAGTTTGCAAGGTTGATCGCGTCAAAACCGTATAATCCTGATCTGTTGGACTCCTACGTTAACAGTAGACTCATCCCGCTTAACAAGTGCCCAGGGGTGAGGCCAATAGGAATAGGGGAAACTTTTAGACGAATAGTGGGAAAATGTTTGAGTTGGGAATTGAAAACAGCGATCCAAGTTGCTGCTGGACCACTGCAGGTTTGTACAGGACTAAAAAGTGGATCGGAAGCGGCAGTACATTACATGCGGGAGCAATTCGAAACAGAATCTGCAGAAGCAGTGATTTTAGTTGACGCCAGTAATGCTTTTAATTCTGTTAACAGACAAGCTCTCTTACACAACGTGAGAGTACTATGCCCGGAGTTAAGCTTGATTGCAATCAACATGTACCGGAAACCATGCCGGCTATTTGTTGGGGGAGCTGAAATCCCGAGTCGGGAGGGTACAACCCAGGGCGATAACCTGGCAATGTCGCTTTTTGCCATTGCAACTCTACCAGTACTACGGAAATTAGAAGATCACGAAAAAGTGGCACAAGTATGGTTAGCAGATGACGCCACAGGAGTGGGTACTCTTCACGCACTTTTAGGATGGTGGAAAGATATCATTGAAGAAGGACTTAAGTATGGCTACTTCGTGAACCAGGAGAAATCTTGCTTAATCCTGAAAAATCCTGAACATTTACATACAGCTCAGGAAATATTTTCCGATTGCAATATAGATATCAGAATAGATGGTCAAAGGCATTTAGGAGCTGTGCTGGGGACGCCTGAATTCAAGGATACCTACATTAACAACCTTGTAGTTGAGTGGAGTGATATGCTAAAAAAGTTAGTACAGTTTGCCAAATCACAGCCTCAGGCAGCCTACGCTTGTTTTACGCACGGTGTCCGCCACAAATTTACATATTTTATGAGGACACTAGATATCAGCTCTTATATGGGCCCTCTTGACAAAATAATCACTCATGAGCTTATTCCAACTATATTTGGTTGTCCAGTATCTCCTATACACCGAGAGCTTATGTCATTACCATTAAAGAACGGAGGTATGGGAATGCCACAGTTGGAGTATCTAGCGAAAAGAGAACATGCTGCATCGCTTTTGGTAACCCGGGGACTGGTAAATTCCATGAAAGGAAAATCTCTTGCTACAACTGACACGGAATCGAGAGATGAGCTTCAAGATATGTTAAAACAGCGTGTTTTGGAATATAAAGAACAACAAGAGGAGATACTTAAAAAGGTTGACAAGAAGACTGCAAGGGTTTTGGAGCAGATTAGCGAACCAGGGAGCTCAAATTGGCTCTCATGTCTACCACTAAGAAAACATGGTTTCGTTCTAAATAAATCTGAATTTAGGGATTCTATCAGATTGCGATACAACTTAGATCTGGATCGTTTACCTTCACACTGTCCATGTGGAAAAACGTTTGATGTGAACCATTCTCTAAATTGCCATCTTGGTGGCTACATCATTATCAGACACAACGAGATTAGGGATTTTTTAGCTGGCTTGCTGAAGAGTGTTTGCTCGGACGTGGAAGTTGAACCTCAGCTTCAAGAACTAGAAGGAGAGCAGTTCACGAGGTCATCAACACTTACGGGTGACCAGGCAAGACCCGATATTAGAGCTCGTGGTTTCTATAGGCCGGGCCAAATGGCTTTTTTCGATGTTAAGGTAATTAATCCTAATTCTAATTCCTACCTTCAACATTCGACAAAGAAGACCATGGAGAACGCCGAGAAACAGAAATCACGATGCTACAACGAGAGAATACTTAATGTAGAGCACGGATCATTCGCTCCATTAATTTATTCAGTAACTGGTGGCATGGGACCTCAAGCCAGGACATTTGAGAAACTGCTTTGCAACAAACTTGCTTATAAGAAAAAGCAGAATTACAACGATATTATAAATTTTTATCGGTGTAAATTATCATTTTTAATTAGGAAATTAATTTTATTGTGTATTAGAGGATCAAGAAATACCTCAAACAAAACTTACGAATTATCTAACATGGATGATTTAGAATTTAACTCTTTCGAATCGAAAGTCAACTAATTTTTTCAGTCCCATGGACTGGGTTTTATTTTTGCAATGATGATTTTCATAATATATAACCTGTAATACTATTTTGTATATATTTAATTTCGTTTTCCAAAAAAAAAAAATAAAATAAGATCTCGTTCCAGGTATTCTTCAGAAAGTTTACAAAGGAGCAAGCAGACAAGCTGAAGTTGGTCGGTTGGTGCAAAAATGAACCAGACAAAACTGTGATAGGTATGTAGCAGTCATAACGTTACCTCCCCCTCCCCTCCCCTTCTATCCTTTCATGTATAGTGAGATCAGCTGGGCCTTTTGTTACGCCACTGGTATGTAGGAGGGAGGGTGAGGTAAGGAATGTACATGTTTTATTTGCAAATATTTGGATCGTTCGACATTTTATTTTGGTAATTGACAGTTGTTATTACAGCTATCCAATGTGCCCCTTATTTAGGGAATGAGTTATAAAGGGTATAAATCATGTCAATTTTTGCATAAATATTTGTTTTGCATACACTGGCACATTTTCGGACTAGACCAAAAAGGTCTACTAAGGCGGAGAGCTGGAACGCGCGTCATAAAAATTGAGATAATGATGGCGCGCACGTATTGTAGGGACTATAATATATACTAGCTTATACCGGTGGGAGATGAATAATTGAGAATCCAACAGGATCTTGTTCTCTTCATTGTGCTGATTCCGGGAAGCATTCGTTTTACGCTCTAATCCTATTAAAAATCGAGATATAATCGGTCATTGAAAAATGAGTAATTATAGGCCTGTCAATTTCGAAAACTTAACTAAAGTACTAGCAAAACTGCGCGTTTTGCTCTAGATACACACTTTTTTAGAGATTTTACCGGCGTATTCTCTAAAATCACAATTTGTTAAATTTTAGGGAGGGACACCAAAAGGGGAGGGGCGCCAACAGGGGGGCGCATTTTTCGGCAGGGGGGCGCCAACAGGCAACGTTACGCCACTGATTCAGTTGCAGCTACTTGTGCCATATAAGGGATGACTGAAGTCACGTGACCGCCAATCCTATCACGTGACCTTGATTCGTAAATCCTTGGTCACGTGATCACATTCGTAACGTGTCGAATGCTGACTAGGATATCTCGTGACGTCAACAGAGCTCAAGCTTCCTGACCAGGCCTTATATGGAATAATATAGTGTATTACGTGTAATTGGATCCAATTAAGATGAGCTGCGCAATTATCGCAGCATCTCGATCTGGTATCACCTTCTGAAACCCAGCAGGCAGCTGGGCCAGAGATTTTAAAATAGAAGGATTTTTTGTTAATGAAAATCGAAGCGAAAATCACGTAACCCTATGTTTCCGAGGACGCCGAACACGATAAAACTGGTTATAATTATCATGCTCAAGGGCAAATTACTTTAAAATGCACTTGAATGTCATAGATGTTATTATAAGCTAAGCGCCTGAGCGGCTTATCGGGTGGCACTGCAGTCTATCTGCCGAATCTCAGTAATTGTAAACAACGACGCTACTAGTTCTCAGCTAATAATCGGGCTTATGAAGGAAAGATCTTAAGTTCAGAAGACTATTAATAAATACGGATTTCAACCAATATCGAAAAGGACTACCAAGGATTGTATCGGAACTTCTATAAGCGGTATTTCAAGTCTTCATAACGGTTTAAGGATGAACTAACGGTATTTTAGGATTGTGCTAGGGCTACTTACGGATAGGTTGACGCTCCTGTTATGAGAATGGTCCCCTTCCTATCCGTTGTACACTATACTCATTACCTTCTGGCTCAAATTTAAAGTTAACCTTACCTTTTACCTATCATATGTAGTTAATATTACCTTGTATCTTACAATTAGAGTTAACCTTACCTTTTACTTAGCATATGTAGTTAATATTACCTTGTATCTTATAATTTGAGTTACCATTTACTTGTGCCTTACAATTAGAGTTAATGTACATTATACCTTATATATGGAGTTAACGTTACATTATACATTACATCTAGAGTTAACATTACATTATACCGTACATCTAGAGTTAACGTTACATTATACCGTTAACGTTACATTATACCTCACATCGTGATTCGTGAGTTAACATTACCTTCCACCCCACATGTAAAGTTAAGATTATCGTATACATTACTTCAGAGTTAACTGTAACATTACATTATACCTTATATTGTATCCAGAGTTCTTCTTCTTTTTATTGGTTGGTGTTGACTGTAAGCCTGCCTGAACGGCGGCTTTCTCGACGCGTCCCCACCTCTCCAACTCCTGCTGCTGGAGAGGGACTCCCAAAGTGTATATTCATATTAATCAATAATCATACAGATTAAATTGAATAAGCTTCCTGGAGTCTTGAAGCTCTGTTACCAATGCACCGCCTCTATTGCAATCCCGTCGGTTTAGGACGTAGAGACAGGGACTTTCAGGAGCGGTTGTGGCCTACTATTTGCAACTCGTATACGCTTGCAATGCTACTGGTGGGTGTTAGTTGTTTCTTTTGATTCGACATGGAACTTTCGTCAGATCCTGGAACTAAATAACTATTCTCGATTATTCTCTAAAGCTTTAATGAAGTCAGTAGGTTCTGATATGGGTAGACTTGGTTTTCGGATCTTCATATCCTCAGAAGAATGCCATAAGGGATTTGGTTACCAGATGAGTATATTTGTTGAACGAGTATATTAACGAGGTATTCATTGATTTCTTCACAACTCTTCGCTGACAGAATCAGCATTAACGAGGTCGAATAATAACTTCATAGTTCGTAACTGACAGGATCAGTATTAATGAGGTCGAATGATTACTTCATAGCTCGTCACTAACTGGATCCTTATCGACTAACGAGGTCCAGTGATTTCTTGGTAATACGTCAAAAGAAAGGTAAGAAAATAACATGAATGTATAATGTTATGTACGGTGTAATGTAACGTTAACTCTAGATGTACGGTATAATGTAACGTTAACTATAGATGAAAGGTATAGTGTAACGTTAACTCTAGATGAAAGGTATAATGTAACGTTATAACTCTAGATGAAAGGTATAATGTAACGTTAACTCTAAATGTAAGGCACAAGTTAATGGTAACTCAAATTGTAAGATACAAGGTAATATTAACTACATATTATGGTATTAATAGGTAAAAGGTTAAGGTTAAAGGTAAGGTTAACTTTAAATTTGAGGCAGAAGGTAATGAGTAATGTACAACGGATAGGAAGGGGACCATTCTCATAACAGGAGCGTCAACCTAGCCTATCAGTAAGTAGCCCTAGCACAATCCTGAAATACCGTTAGTTCATCCTTAAACCGTTATGAAGACTTGAAATACCGCTTATAGAAGTTCCGATACAATCCTTGGTAGTGCTTTTCGATATTGGTTGAAATCCGTATTCGTTAATAGTCTTCTGAACTTAAGATCTTTCCTTCATAAGCCCGATTATTAGCTGAGAACTAGTAGCGTCGTTGTTTACAATTACTGAGATTCGGCAGATAGACTGCAGTGCCACCCGATAAGCCGCTCAGGCGCTTAGCTTATAATAACATCTATGACATTCAAGTGCATTTTAAAGTAATTTGCCCTTGAGCATGATAATTATAACCAGTTTTATCGTGTTCGGCGTCCTCGGAAACATAGGGTTACGTGATTTTCGCTTCGATTTTCATTAACAAAAAATCCTTCTATTTTAAAATCTCTGGCCCAGCTGCCTGCTGGGTTTCAGAAGGTGATACCAGATCGAGATGCTGCGATAATTGCGCAGCTCATCTTAATTGGATCCAATTACACGTGATACACTATATTATTCCATATAAGGCCTGGTCAGGAAGCTTGAGCTCTGGTGACGTCACGAAATATCCTAGTCAGCATTCGACACGTTACGAATGTGATCACGTGACCAAGGATTTACTAATCAAGGTCACGTGATAGGATTGGCGGTCACGTGACTTCAGTTATCCCTTATATGGCATAAGTAGCTGCAACTGATCAGCTCTTAATTGGGCTGCAATCATTGACAGGCCTATAATTACTCATTTTTCAATGACCGATATCTCGATTTTTAATAGGATTAGAGCGTAAAACGAATGCTTCCCGGAATCAGCACAATGAAGAGAACAAGATCCTGTTGGATTTTCAATTATTCATCTCCCACCGGTGGTCCCTAGAAATATGTTTGGCACGGTTAAATTGTCCACGAGAAATACTAAATACTAACAATACGTCAGTGACGTATTGTTATGTAAATAAATTGTGCAATTCAATGAACAACAAACAAGGCTGCAACACATACATCCGAGAGGGGCCGATACGAGTGGAAATTTCTTGGAGAAAATGGAGATGGTTCTTAAACTGCGAGCCAGCCCTCACAAACTGCCTGGGTCATATGGTTTTTCGATTTAGCCTGTTTCCATCGATGATCTAACAATTATCAAGATGTTAGATATACCGTTTCCAATCTAGCTTACTCATATGTAACCGTGTTATAACAAATTTAACCATCTTCCTGATTCCAGGAGTAGCACAAGGTCTGTCCCCTGCTATTGACACCATGAAGAGTTGGCTGAACAAGACTGGTAGTCCTCAGAGCCGTATTGACTCTTGCAGCTTTTCTAACGATCGTAGTGTTGAGAAAATGGAGTTCGGAGAGTTCGCTATCCGTAGGAAGAGGAAATGAGTTTTGGGAGTTTGAGAAACTGGCTGTATATTTTGTACAAATATTTGATACTTACAATGTGTTAGATTTAGGGGTGATGAAGGATTTCGTAATTTAATTGTGAGATATGCGATTATTGGTTATAAACATTATACACAGGAAGCGTTACACGAAACTATCAAAAGTAAAACCATGGATTGATAATGATGCTAGAAGGTTATGATAATAATGCTAAGGTAATGATAATTAAGATATAAGTTGGTAACCTTTAATGAATAACCAGTAGTCTGACTATTAAATATGTAAAATTCCTTGCGCCGTGTATATTCGTGTCTCCACAGTTTTATACTTGCAATCATGCAAACTTAATCAATGATACATCAGGTCTATGATTGTCCTGCTCAGTTCATTCTTTTGGTTTGTTCCATCTTTAGCATAGGCCGCACTATGACGAACCAGATTTTACTTACCTGAGGACCTCAGGCTTATTTCTGTTTAAGATATGTCGGAGTCAGATGCTGTCCAGATTCTTTTTCCGGTTCTGTGGTCCCTTTGTTCAATTTTCAGTTGAGATCTTGTAATTTACACCTAGTCCGTGCAATATGACGTATTCGTTCTGATGGTGTAGCCTGAGAGTTAAGATTAATTGTTTTGAACTTCCAGAATGTTCCTTTTAAGGCTGGATCTCCATATCGGCATCATCTTGCGAGTTTATGTCCCAAAGTCCTATCAAAAGTTTAGTTAAATGCGTCATTGTTTCTTTGGAAGGTTTCAGTGCGTTTGTAACGACCCTTCCCCACCACGAAAAAGCAAGATAATCCCAGAGTCCGACGAGAACTTCTTTAGTGTATTTGAATATTCCTTGGGGAGTCTTTGAGGTTTTAGCAACATTCTTTTCCCACCACGCGGAGAAGTTTGTATCGTGAGTTAGATCCTCGCTAAGAATAACCCTCGATAACTCCTCTGCCGTAAGGTTTGATGTAGATGTTTTGGACAGGTTCGGGAAAGCACAAAACCTTAGGATGACTGGACTAGTAACAACGTTTTCATGAGAACTCCTTATCATTTCTCTGACGAGATCCTCGGTTACTGCTCCTTGCTCTGCTTTTGTCGTAAAAACACTCCTTATCTGCTGTCCATCATTTTCATTCAAGTCGGATACTTCTACTATCAACACAAAATCTTCTCCGATCAGAACGAAATCACTCCCTCCTTTCTCATTATCCAGTTCGTTCTCATCACACGGGAAGTCTGTTTTGTTGGGTTTGAACAACGCGAATTGTTCGTTGGTGTATTGTAGTCCGTGTAAGACCAACATTTTCTTCTTCGAACTTTTAAATGTGTGATAGACTTTAACATGACTTTCAGCACCCATGTTTAGAATGGGTGGCAGCATAGTTGGTTGGTTGGGTGTTTTGTAGCAGTACGTGGTGTGCAGGAGTTGTCCTGATTCTTCTATTCTCTGTAACATACCTCTATCTTTACCTGGGAAAATGTCGTTATCTAGTGAGCTTTTACACAACAGCAACAAAAACAGGAAACCCATTTCATATTTAAAAAGTCATTTTGGCGATTAAATCAAGATAAATTTGTCTCACTTTTATCTTCTGAGCTTGGGTAAATTTTTTCGTCATTTTGCTGTTCTTTTGCTTTCCTTCTTTTAGGATCGGGATCATCCGTCTCCGTGCTGTCTCTATGCCTTTGATATGAATAATGTTATGGCTAGTAAGAATTAATTGAAAAATTAATCGTATTTTAAATGAAGATTGATTATAACCTTTTTGTACTGAAGTACTGAACATTTTTTTTTAAAGCTAAAGATTATTTTAATGTTTTACTGAGCCGAAATCTACAGTTGTAACATTTTATAGTTAAGTTGGCACTTGGCACCCTGCTATTATGCAAGCGGTTTCAGCTGGTGATAGTTATTCAGAACCACTATTATTATAATTACCTTTTGGACAGCGGCGGCTCATCAGGAATTTGCGGTCCATTCACCGCGAGAGGTTTATCTGCTGACTGACAGGGCTGTGGTGCTTTTTCAACCTCGCAACTTTGCGGATCATTGGCTGTTTGATCTCCAGTCTCAGAATTAGGCAGTTCTTCTACTATTTCTGAGGAAGGAAGTTCTGCTACCATTTCTGAAATAGGCGGTTCTTCTACCATTTCTGAAGTTGGTGGTTCTTCTACTATTTCTGAAGTAGGCATTTCTTCTACCATTTCTGAAGTAGGCGGTTCTTCTGCCATTTCTGAAGTTGGTGGTTCTTCTACTATTTCTGAAGTAGGCAGTTCTTCTACTATTTCTAAAGTAGGTGGTTCTTCTACTATTTCTGAAATAGGCAGTTCTTCTACCATTTCTGAAATAGGCGGTTCTTCTACTATTTCTGAAGTAGGCGGTTCTTCTACTATTTCTGAAGTAGGTGGTTCTTCTACTATTTCTGAAATAGGCAGTTCTTCTACCATTTCTGAAATAGGCGGTTCTTCTACCATTTCTGAAGTTGGTGGTTCTTCTACTATTTCTGAAGTAGGCAGTTCTTCTACCATTTCTGAAGTAAGCAGTTCTTCTACCATTTTTGAAGTTGGCGGTTCTTCTACTATTTCTGGAGAAGGCGGTTCTTCTATTATTTCTGAAGTTGGCGGTTCTTCAACTATTTCAGAGGTAAGCGGTTCTTCTACTATTTCTGAAGTAGGCGGTTCTTCTACTATTTCTGAGGTAGGCGGTTTTTCTACTATTTCTGAAGTAGGCGGTTCATTTTCGATTTCTGGAACAAGCGTTTTATAAACGATATCCGAGATTTGCGACTCATCAACGGGTTCAGAAGCTGTCGATGTATCTTCATTGGCAATCTGAGAAATTTGCTCTTCAGATTTAGTAATTAATTCATCTATCCAGTTTGAGATGATAGACTCTTCAGCTTGGGATGCATATGAAGGTTTTTCATCTGCTCTAGCAGTAGTTGCTATTTCATCGCCATTTTCAGATGCGGAAAATTCAAGACTACTACCAAAGATATGCGGTTCGTCGGCCTGATTTCTTTCCGCTACGCGGTCTGTGATTTCCCTTTTTCTGAAAGTGAAAATTATCGTTAAATAGAAATTAGTTTTAACGATCGTATTCGAATTTTAAGAAATAGTGTCCATATACGTTTATATTAAGAAATCTGTTTAATTTCTTTCTGAATTAAGAAGTTAAGATAAAACGGTCACATTCTTTTGGTAAAAGTTTGATCGTGATTCGTAAAATTTTGCACAAGAGCTCCTAAAACCAACCTTTGCAAAGAGGAAATATCGTAAACGCTTTCGAATATTGGTTTCTCAGCAATAGCACTTGGTTCAACAATAGCACGTGGTTCAACAATAGCACGTGGTTCAACAATAGCACGTGGTTCAACAATAGCACGTGGTTCAACAATAGCACGTGGTTCAACAATAGCACGTGGTTCAACAATAGCACGTGGTTCAACAATAGCACGTGGTTCAAAAATAGCACGTGGTTCAACAATAGCACGTGTTTCATCACGTCTACTAGTTGATCGTTCAACATTGTCCTCCGGAGTTGCTGGATAAACCGTAACATCTCTGAAAGTATATAACCCGCTAGAGGTAGGCTGTTTCTGTTCCCGGTGTGGAGTTGGTACTCTCTGCAGTTTCTGTTTAGTTGGTGGGTTTACCGCAGCTTCAGATTGTGGAGTATGAGGTTGAAAAACTTGTGTGGTTCTGAATGACGATTCATTAGTAGTCGGTGGCTTTTCAGATCTTATCGGTCTAGCAGCTACAATCTTTATCTTTTCAGAAGCTGGCGGGGTTTTTACTTTAGAAGTGTACCTAGCTGGTTCCTTTACTTTGGCAGACTTGGGAACACTACTTGAGGTTGAGAGCTGATCTGCTCTGAAGTAACTCGGCAGTTCATCAGCCCTCCCTGGGGGGACAGGGGCACCGAATATCCCCCCTGAAGGGTGAGGTTTATACCCTTGATCGGGTATTCTGGAGACTGAGAGTTGGTTCCCTCTACCAGCTGTGGGATTAAGAAGCTGGTCTATTCTACCGGATAATTGGAGTTGTTCCATTCTCCCTGATCCAGGACTCAGCAGTTGGTCTATTATTGCTGCATTTTGAAGTTGATTTATTGTCTCTGGGCTGTTCTGTCCATACAGTCCCATGGAGGTTGGTGGTTTATACACGCTCCAAAAGTCGGTGGGTTGATTGGTACTCCCTGGGTTGGGTGCTCCATACGCATTCCACGACAATGCTGGTGCGGGGGAGGGCTGTCTCAGTGCGGGGGAGGGCTGTCTCGGTGCGGGGGAGGGCTGTCTCGGTGCTTTGGGTCTCTTGGGTGCGTTACTTGTTCCCCTACCTCTTCTACCCCTACAAATATTTAATATGTTACGAATGACTGTTGAGCTTAAAATGGAGAAATGGTAAACATTACTATTTTTCCACAAGGGAGAATGGAATTGAGTTGGACTATCTTGACTGTGGTAAGTGGTTCAACTGTTGTAAGTCACTCTGTGTTAAAGTCGCATATCTTACCGTTTAGCAGCCTCCTCCCTCCCACCAGTCGTGTAGTTTATCTGTGGTTCATTGTATCTGTCAACGTCTATTGGTTCTCCGACCCCACCACTTGCTGGAGGTTTGTTCGCTCTCCGCTTTCTGGGCGCTGTAGTGTTTGCTTTCTTGTTCTTTCTATTCCTGAGCGAGGATATTACAGGCTGGCCCAGAAGTAACTGCCCACAAGCAACCTTTTAATAACTCACGTAATTCGTGTCAAAATTGCACACAAATTTCAGAGAATATAGATATAACAGTATAAGTCAAACTAGATTTCCTGAAAGTTTCGTAAAATTTCATTGATAAAAAAGTGGCGTGCCACACCCTTTTTGCGTGTGGGCAGTTACTTCTGGGCCACCCTGTATAAAAGACTAAGGCTGCACGTTGTACAAAAGCTACCAATTATGCTTCTTGCACAATGCACATAGCATACTCAGTACTCACGAACTGAGAAACATTCTTCATTTTGTATTATTTGTTAAACTAAGTTAAACTCACTTTTTTGAGGATGGATCATCTACTTTTTCTGAGGTTGACGGTTCATAGTTGTACGGTCCTCCTGATTTCCGAGGGTCGTCCATTTAAGCCATGTCTCACTAAACTAAAGATGTGGTTAACCTTTCAAAAAGAGTCAAAATACTTTATTTTTCACGTTATTTAGCCAATAAAACGGGCTAGTTTAAAAACGTGAGTATCGCAAATCGTAGAAGTCAGTGGGACATTGTCTCCAGTGGGACAGTGTCTCCAGTGGGACAGTGTCTCCAGTGGGACAGTGTCTCCAGTGGGACAGTGTCTCCAGTGGGACATTGTCTCCAGTGGGACATTGTCTCCAGTGGGACATTGTCTCCAGTGGGACAGTCTCTCCAGTGGGACAGTGTCTCCAGTGGGACAGTCTCTCCAGTGGGACAGTGTCTCCAGTGGGACAGTCTCTCCAGTGGGACAGTGTCCCCAGTGGGACAGTGTCCCCAGTGGGACAGTGTCCCCAGTGGGACAGTGTCTCCAGTGGGACAGTGTCTCCAGTGGGACATTGTCTCCAGTGCAAGTGGGACATTGTCTCCAGTGGGACATTGTCTCCAGTGGGACATTGTCTCCAGTGGGACATTGTCTCCAGTGGGACATTGTCTCCAGTGGGACATTGTCTCCAGTGGGACATTGTCTCCAGTGGGACATTGTCTCCAGTGGGACATTGTCTCCAGTGGGACATTGTATTGTCTCCAGTGGGACATTGTCTCCAGTGGGACATTGTCTCCAGTGGGACATTGTCTCCAGTGGGACATTGTCTCCAGTGGGACATTGTCTCCAGTGGGACATTGTCTCCAGTGGGACATTGTCTCCAGTGGGACATTGTCTCCAGTGGGACATTGTCTCCAGTGGGACATTGTCTCCAGTGGGACATTGTCTCCAGTGGGACATTGTCTCCAGTGGGACATTGTCTCCAGTGGGACATTGTCTCCAGTGGGACATTGTCTCCAGTGGGACATTGTCTCCAGTGGGACATTGTCTCCAGTGGGACATTGTCTCCAGTGGGACATTGTCTCCAGTGGGACAGTGTCTCCAGTGGGACATTGTTTCCAGTGGGACATTGTCTCCAGTGGGACAGTGTCTCCAGTGGGACATTGTCTCCAGTGGGACAGTGTCTCCAGTGGGACATTGTCTCCAGTGGGACATTGTCTCCAGTGGGACATTGTCTCCAGTGGGACATTGTCTCCAGTGGGACAGTGTCTCCAGTGGGACAGTGTCTCCAGTGGGACAGTGTCTCCAGTGGGACAGTGTCTCCAGTGGGACAGTGTCTCCAGTGGGTTAGTGTCTCCAGTGGAACAGTGTCTCCAATGGAAATTGGGACAGTGTGTCTCCAGTGGAACAGTGTCTCCAATGGGAATTTGGACAGTGTGTCTTCAGTGGAACAATGTCTCAAGTGAGAGTGTGTTTTGATCAAAACGTTTTATCGCAGAAAGAAATACTACTCACAACTAAACAGTAAACAGTGCACTTTATCACGACAAGTGACAACTCTACAAGACCAGAGCAAACTGTGCGTAATAACAGTGTAGTTACTAGTTACATAGCATATAGTATAATATACGCATTGAACCTAACCTTTGGCAACTCTCCAAATCCTAAAAGTAATACACGCTAATTGCAACACTGAGCTACACAAACTCCAACGACAGCAGCTTTACTCATACCTAAACGTTTAAACACATAACAAGGCAAGGAACAGTGCTAACAGGGATAAACACATACCTGCCTCGTTGCGCTCTCTCGGTATCAAATATGGCGGTACGTTACGCATCCACATATTTCGTACGGTCATCAAATTAAATCATTAGTATCGTGATTAGGACCGGTAAAATGAATGTTATTGTCTGTGGAGAAAGAAACATTGGATAACTCTCGAGAGCGGCCGGCCTGAAGAGAACTGTACATTTTAACAAAATGTCACGTACTATACCAGACTACATTCCCAGTAATTACTGCGGAGGTAGCTTGGTAACTGCTGAGTGTTAGTCTTGTATTTTGGAAATGGTCTGGGTATACGTATAAATCTACTTATATTATAGTAGTATGTAATAGTACCTTGTTCGAACTGTGATTGGAAAAGTTTGCTTAAAGTTAAATGAGGTTTAGCGTAAAACTGAATGTTTAGTTGTTAAATTTAAATTTTTCTCACTTGGAAGGCAGCTAACATTGAACATCTATTGATATTCCATTCTCTGCTGACAGTCGTGAGACAAGATTACATTATATTGATAAATTCCTGATCCCATGATCCGAGCGATATGCAAGTGCAACAAAGGTAACTTAGTTAAAGTTGCAAACAGAAAAATGTAGTCGTGATTAGTGATATTGCATAAATCATCTGGAATTTTATTTTTACCCCAACTTCTGAGCAGCTGAGCTGTAGAACTAGAACTAGAAATTCATTCAAAGTTTTACTGCGATATTTATTTTTTAAATTTATTATTAAAAATATGTAATATAAAACCGAATAGCCTAAGAAATAATTTATCGTACCGAATTATTTGAACCTTTATTTTTGGGTGCACAATGTACACTGTACAGTGCACGCCCTTGCCTTTTAAAATTCAATCTAAGCTAATAATAAATATTACATCACGTGAACGATGAGACCAGTATACAGTAACACTCAACAAAATACCCCCAGGACAGGGTCGTAATTCCTTTTTCAAACTTGGGGAATCATGGCCGACTGCCGAGCAAAGCGAGCCCGGCTCCGGTTTGTCCACTGGAGCGAAGCGGTGGCAGGGGTTTTCGGGCGGAGCCCCCTGAATTTTTTTAACTTTTTGAGTTAAAATTATGACTATGAGTTTTTAATAAAAATGTTAGTAACAAGGTCTGATCGTCATCTTCATACAGCGTTCTGTGTGAAGGTAAAATGGTGACATCCTCTGGATCAGGCAGACTGCAGCAGAGGTCGAGTATTATTATATTGGGATTCCGGATTACTTCTGTACTTTTAGTAGTAAGTGTAACCATAAAGTTGCTTAATCAACTGTCAACGGTGTCCAAAAATTCCACGGGTATCTATAATAAGTGCAAGATGCAATGATTTCTAATTACTAACATTTTTGTAGTAGTTGTACAGCAAAACTAAGGTAATGGGACTAGACTACTGCGGACCCTCTACCGGCCAAATCTTGTTAACAAAGCCGCAGTAAAGGTTCGGTGAACGGTATTTAAAAGCGCTTAAGGGACATCAGTCAAACTGGTAGAGCAACATCATGTTGATGTAGCTATGTATTATAGTAGTGGACATCTTGAGAAATGAGTAGTAGGTAAAATGTAAGCTAAGGATGCTCCTTCATAAATCGTATTTTTCTCCGATAATAAATTGACATCAAGTCTTTAAAATTATTCGAGAAGAATTTCTCAAGATGTCCACAACATGATGTTGCTCAACCACTTTGACTTATCTCCCTTAAGGCTAAGCGCTTTTACATTTTAACAACCGTTCACCGAACCTTGACTGCGGCTTTGTTAACAAGGTTTTGCCGGTAGAGGGTCCGCAGTAGTCCCATTACCTTAGTATTGCTGTACAACTACTACAAAAATGTTAGTAATTAGAAATCATTGCAGGATGATGATTAATCACTCTACACTCGACTGTCACGTGACTTTTTCAACCCGTTCTCTAGCTGGCCCTGAAAGACTATTCGAAACCCTAAAGTATATGCTGAAACCCTAACCCTAACGAGAAATTAGACTAACTTCCTTATACGGTCATATCACGTGATCGAGACAGTTTTCGCCAATATGTCATGGGGGGTGATTCGGAATCAGCGTCCGAAAATACATCGATTGAAGTTGGTTTCAACTGTCGGGGGCCCTTTTAGAACAGTCTCGAAGATCGACTGTAGAGTGATTTAGCACGCTCGTTGACACACTCAATATAATATCTAAATCCCACAAATCATTATCAAGAAATTACAGCAATCAATATTTCATATATCACTTCTGAGCAGATCCAGGTAAGTCAAGACATCATCTTCGTAAGAGTGGTAGTTCTGCACGATGCGGTGAATCCTCCTGTCCTTGTCGCTGTGAGCTTTCTTCCTCTTCGGTGGGTTCTCTCCGAGGTGGTGAGTCCCTGGATCCATGTCGTCTGGAAGTAGGCGAGGAGGTCGTCGATGTCCAAGGTCGGTGGCATCTGGTCCAGGATACTGAAGAAGGCGTCCGGGACGTCCGCTGTAGGGATGTAGGCGAGGATCATCAGTCTGCGTATCCAGATCCGGGTAGGAGTGTAGGTTTTCTGACCAGTAGTGAGATCCGTCGTAACTCGCTCGTACTGCTCCTTGTAGCCAAGTCGCTGGACAGCCCGCATCACCGCTTGGCACAGATGGAAGTAGCAGCTGTCAACTTGCGCGGAAGGGAAGGTGGCAGATAAGGCATTCCGGAGAGCTAGCTCGTAGTCCACCATGATGTTGTCTGGAGAGAAGTTGTCAAGACTGCCGAGTCTTGGCAGCTTCCTTGTAGACGGGGGTATCCTTGTGGGTGAGGAGGATGTAGATGCAAGGGAAGACCCAGGTAGCGTCCTCGTTAAAGTTGACCATCTCAGCGTGAATGGTGAGGAGTTGGTAGAAGAGCTGAGGAGAAGAGGAGAAGGTCGCGTCCACGTACCAAGAGCTGCTGTCCTCCAGGGCTCGCAGGTTCTTCTCCGTCCCAAAGATGATAACTCGTCGCTCGTCGTCTTTGTTATCAAACTGGAGCATAGGTTCGCCAGCCAGAGACATGCAGTCGTCCTCCTCCAGTTCAAGGTCTGCCAGGTTCGTCGGAGCTCTAGGGACAGGGTTCTCCTTCCGGCGGGCTCTCTGAGCTTGCTTCTTCACCGCTTGTTCACTGGGGAGGAGGAAGCGAGCAGCCTGGGACAGCGAGCCAGTAACGGAGCAGTAGATTCTGTGGTTCTGAGTAATCGTAGTCGCAGCCAGATCGTGGACTTGGGAGAGGGCTTCTCGGACTTCGCAGTCAGCTATGTCGGCACTGTGGTTGTGAGGCTGGGTGACTGACACCAGGGATCCGTTGAGGGTGTACAGTCGTCCCTTGCATCTGTCGTTCTTCTTCACGCACCTCCATGCTCCAAGCCTGTCGTCCATCCAGAGTCGGCTTTCCATCTTTGGAGTAGCGGAAACCACGGTGTAGAAGGTTCTGACTGTTAGCAGTTCTCCCTCTGACCACCTTCACCGTATCTTCATCGAACATCGTTGTAGCTGTTGTACACAAGTTGTAGTGTTGCAGTACTGGAGATGGTAGTTGGTAGTGCTAATAAGATACTCTCCTCAACTTTGATCCACTTTATATACTGTTTGCCTCTATCATAATCTACGTTTCATTGAGCAACCTCTCTTCTTGGCTACGGTTGATCAGATTCCTGGATGCGATCCCTCGTGACGTGTTCTCATGCCCTTGTTATTACCCATTGCATCTCGGCGCAGTGATATGAGATCTCACTGTAACAAGCTCATCATGCACTCGCTTAACCACCGTTGTGCAGACCGGACGCGATCTGATACGAACCAAAAAGTGGAACAATAACTGTTCTTAGCAATCACAATGTATATGTTAAACTTTATCCAATTTAATTTTAATTAAAATTAATTTCGAAGTAACATAGAGGAAAATAGAACTTTTTAAAGCTAATCGATTTTGTTATATTAGCAGTGCTAGGTCTATTTTATAGGTACAGTTTCTAGTGCCGCCGTACTGTCCAAAGTAACTGTAAAGTGGGTGTCATGTGATCCGCCGTTCCGTCCAACCTTTTTGGAAAGTACCGCCGTACCGGCCTCTGCTGTACCGTCCTCCGCCGGACTGTACACCGCCGCAGTGACTTCCGCCACTGAGTCCTATACCCAAATATTTTACGAGTGCCCAGGAAACCTTATTGGTAGGGGCCTAACTTCGGAAGTAAAAGTTCTGCTTTTCAACAAAATGTCCGTCTCGTAAAACTTAAGTTAGCTCCCCAGGAGCACAATTTGGGACAACGTAGATTTTGAATTATCCTGAAAAGTCTTATTTTGGGCCTTATAAAAGTGCGCAGCTTTAACTTTTGACTTTGCGGATTTTTGTTCTCTGATATTGCAGAAATTTGTTCTGAAATTCAGCATGGAGCATTCAGACAACAATCGTTGATAAAGTTTTTTTCTGACAGAGACCCTTGTCCGAAAACATTAATTTCGGATTTGGACAAAATTGAAAATACAAAAGCCGCTCATCGCTGTCAGTGTCAATAACCAATGAGTGTCATATTGCATATGTTGGACAAAAGTCGCTCAATCTCTTTGCACAACAATTATTGAAACAGTCCGTCAGTCCAACTGCTTGATTCACGATGTCAATCCTTCGCAGCTCGGTGAGGCACAGTGGTGCATCTCGCCGATCTACCGAAGTGGTTGCGAGAAGCATTATTTGATGCGCGCGCGACCCAGTAGTGCATCGCGCTACAATCCAACTGCCAATGCAGTTTTTTTGTCTTTTGCTTTCCTTGATTATGTTATACACTTGACACTGCACTGTTGAGTTTTTAAATTTTCATATGTGATGTGTTATAGCATATTTGATATTGATATAGTATTACTATTAGTATTAATATTATATTACTAGGCGGTGCACGATAAAAAATAAACTTGCTCGGATTTTCAAAATTTTTGTACCATCGTTTTTTAGAGACTGTGAGAATTTTCACAGTACCAAATTTATCGTACCTTTTTGGAATGATCAGTGAGTTTCGCCTAGGTGCCATATTTGATGGTGCGCGGCTTTTGGAGCAAAATTAGCTGTAAAAGTCGCGTAATTTGACGAAATTCGTTGATTTTTGTCGTATTATTCTGTCATATCTTCGGTTCCTGAACATGAATCATGCTGAAAATTTGTCAGAACCTTCCAATCATACTTAACTACCGAACCTAACTTAGTTGGGAGAGATTGGCCTTGATTAAGAGGTCTAAAAATGACAAAGTATGTATAAATTCGTTGATAACTCAAATTCTGAGCATCGAAATTGCTCAAACTAAATTAGGTTCAGTAGAACATAAGTGTTTACGTAAGCTGACCAAATGTCAACAAAATTGTTATATGGGAAGTATTATAACTTTTCGATTGTTTCCAAAATAATGTGCTGGCCGAAATAAGAGCTAAAAACCATTCAATGGTCAGCGCGCGCGTCTTATTGTCGATGGCGCACTGCCTAATATTACATAAACATTGAACATAAACTATAAAATTTTTGACGTATATTGACGCTATGTAAATTGTAAATGGTAAAATTAAAAATCAAAGATACACATTGTTGGTTTTACATCGTCGATCAAACCACAAACCACAAACAACAAACGTAAAATGTAAAAGCTTTTTAAAAAAACCATTCTGCATTGTGCATTCTCAATTCCTAATTTCAAATTTCACAATTACCATTTCACACTTCACACTTGCGGTTAAATAAATTATAAGATGTGAATATTATGCCATCTAGCTGGACAAATGGTTAATGTAAAATTAAAAATGCAAATTGCTTAATGGTGAACCGGCATGCAATGACGAATACAAAATAAAATTAACGAAGCTAAAATTTAAATGTTTGAATCATGAATGCGCGGCGCAAAATTTCAACCTTATTCTCCATACCACTTTAGTGACTTTAAGTTGTAACAAATGAATAATAATAAAATTTAAATGATGTTAGGGTTTCAGGATTTACTAAAAGATCAGTTTAGATTATGGAAACATCAATTCAAAATTTGATACTCGAATGTGGAGGGAAGCGTCGAAATTTCGCGCCGCGCACTTGAACATTTAAATTTTAGAATAATGAATCGAGCGCTCTCAGAAAACCTTCCTTCTCTTCGCGCCGCGGTCTGAAATTGTTCTGCCCGCGGGAGGTTCACGCAACGTAACGGTCACTACTAGAATTGGATTCGTTCTTTTTTACTCTCGAACGCACTTAACACTGATCACTTTAGTGACTTTTTCACTGATTACTCTAATTTGATACCGAGGACGGATACGCATGTCGTTTTACCAGCCCCACTCATGTCAGGGTAAACGTATAATACTTCGCACCCAATCGCTGCTAGTGCTGTCATTCTTGTGTGGCGATCGTTGAACTTCCATCTGAATGAGCACCGGAAGCTTTGTTTCGCAACATCGGGAGCTGCTCGAATTTGTGCTAAGTTCTACCAACGTCCAAGATGGAATGTTAACCCATTTAGTTGTTATCTTTTGATAAAGATCTTGCTTAACTTACATTTCAGTACAAAATCACTTTCTAATCATGAAATTCATCCCAATTCATGTCAGAATAGCAGTTACGTCCAACCCCCCCCTTTGTCATTAGAACAAATAAGTCTAAGTCTAAATCTTAATCTGTTGCGAGATAAATTGTCTTCAAATCTCGGACTCTACTATTGTTCAAATCTCATTCGACGTTTTATACTTTTAAACTCTAACCCTCCACTTCCTGTAGCTTGAACAATGGTGGCCCACAAACCCAGAAACTCCATGCTCCCAGGAGGAGTCCCCAAACTGAGCCGATCAGCTGTTTACAAGAAACGAGCTCTTTACAAGAGACAGAAAGTCCAGGTCAAACCCGCTGTTGAGGAGAAAGCTACTCACAAGACTAAAACAGTTCAGGGAGAGAAGAACGGAGGAACCCGAGAGGTGCCCCTTCAGAGACAGGTTAGGGTTCAAATTAATTGAGATTTGTATACCCTTGTCTTCTTGAGCTTAACTTAATTTTGTCATTAAGTGATGGTTGCCTGTCAAACCTTCAATTGTGTGAAACCCCTGCCATTACAATATCCCTGGTGGTGATGTTTCCTGTTTAGATAGAACCAAAGATTGATTTGTGTAATGTTGACATAAGTAAAACAACCATATCACAATTTAAGAGTTTAATGTGAAACAATACTTTGTCGTATCTGTATTGTAATTTCATTGTTAAAATTCAAGCCACCACAAAAAGCCACACACAATGTTGAGACTCACTGTGTACTATTTCAGCCCCGATTCTACCCTACTGAGGACTCCAAGAAGCCCCTGAACAACAGAAGGAAGGTGAAGCCCACCAAACTGAGGTCCACTATCGTCCCCGGATCCGTCGTCATCATGTTGGCTGGTTCCCACCGAGGAAAGAGGGCTGTTGTCCTGAAGCAGTTGCCATCTGGTCTTCTTCTCGTAACTGGTGCGTACCAAAACTCGATTCTACATTTGTATATCTTGATATATTACTAGAGGCAATCTTGTCCGTTGTTCAAACATTTAAATTCCGTTGGTGTGATAGATCGTGTACTGTAGTGTAGTGTAGTGTAGTGACTCATTAATAGTCATGTTAGGATGAGTAGGCAGTTAAATGTATCGTTAGATATCAGGGCAAATAACAGCAATGATGCAGATTTACGTTTACTTGTAATTGCGGCTCTAGAATAATGGAGGGGAGGGAGAAGAGTTTTCCATTGCTGGACACGAGAAAACACCTTAAAGCCCCACATTGTTATGTTGAATTGTTACACGTCTAGAAATTGTTTTCATCTTTCTAAAATGAAATACAATCTTTGTTTAAACAAACCCAGTTTAAAATTTCTAAATTATCTATCTTTCTTGTCCGGCGAGTTGGCTTGTCCAACATTGGCCGATATATGAGATTCTACCCCGTAAATCAGACCAAACCCAGGACCCTACAAGATCAACGGAGTACCTCTGAGGCGAGTTGACCAAGCTTACGTTATTGCTACCTCCACCTCCGTAGAGCTCCCAGCTCTTCCTGACACCCTCACCGATGCTTTGTTCAAGAGGAAAGCCAAGCCTACCAAGAACGAGAAAGAGATGTTTGTTGAAAATACTGCCGAGGTTTGTTTAAATATAGCTATTAGACTTTCTTTCTTAACCTTTGGACAATGAGGCATTTTGATTCGGGCTGGGCTGTTTTTGTGAGTTTCCAAAACGTTTGAAAGGAATGTTTTCAAGGAACCCAGCAGATGCAATGTTAAAAGAAGTGATAAGATTGTGCTCAATTCACGTGAATATTCTGGTCCCTCACTTTCTAGAACTAAATATATTATTTTCCAGGAACCTAAGATCTCCGCTGAGAAGATCGCCCTTCAGAAAGAAGTTGATGCTCTTGTAGTGCCAGCTGTTAAGAGTGTTGATATGTTACAGTCTTATCTCAGAAGCGTATTTACCCTCAGAAAGGGACAATACCCCCACGAAATGAAGTTCTAAGTTCAAAAGATTTATTTAGGTTTTTATTTATCGAAAACCGGCTGTTTTACTGAGTCAAAATCAAATCTTTTACAAATCTCAAATACTGTAGTGTTTATTATTGATAATCATTGACAGACTACTTTGTTTGAACTGCATAAAACCGTTCTGAATAAACTATTATCATCTTATTTAATGCCAAAATAAATAACTGAAAATGGAGGACTATATCTCAGAAATCTAACCACATATCCGTTATTAGCTGCCATGGCGTCCTGGAACAAGTCGGGTGATGGTGACGATGTAGAGTTGATTCTGAGGAAACTGTTCGTCGGAGGAATAAAACCAGACACTTCAGATGATCAGTTCAGAAACTACTTCGCTAAGTTCGGGGATATTGAGGTAAGATCGGCCGCTTTTTCTGCTAGATTAAAATCAGTAACAGACTACTTACTAGCACGTTACTGAACCGTAGATCAGAGTTAGCTGATTCTGTACCCGATATTATCTAAACACAAATACTATATTCCGTATTGAGAGTGGATTCCCTTTCAACTTGTAGATGAAAAGAATCTTTATCCTCCCTCTTCCCCAGGACTACGTTCACATAAGAAACAAACAGACCGGTCAGTCTAAAGGGTTCGGTTTCGTGACGTACAGCGACCCTACCAGCGTCGACAAATGTCTGGCTGCTAAACCACACACCATTAACCAGAAAGATGTAAGTGTTTCCTTATTCAATTATTTAATGATTTTATCCTTGTGGACAAATTTTAAAACTTTTGTAAACCACAGCTAAATGCAGTGTACATTATATGCTTAATTACGTGTACATTTTCTGCAACTTGAATTCTAGATTATTTGCCCTCATGATTTCTGATATAACTAGAAATAAGTACATTGTAACTGTGTAGTTACTTTGTAGTTACTGTGTAGTTACTGTGTAGTTACTGTGTAGTTACTGTGTAGTTACTTTGTAGTTACTGTGTAGTTACTGTGTAGTTACTGTGTAGTTACTGTGTAGTTACTGTGTAGTTACTGTGTAGTTACTGTGTAGTTACTTTGTAGTTACTGTGTAGTTACTGTGTAGTTACTGTGTAGTTACTGTGTAGTTACTGTGTAGTTACTGTGTAGTTACTGTGTAGTTACTGTGTAGTTACTGTGTAGTTACTGTGTAGTTACTGTGTAGTTACTGTGTAGTTACTGTGTAGTTACTGTGTAGTTACTGTGTAGTTACTGTGTAGTTACTGTGTAGTTACTGTGTAGTTACTGTGTAGTTACTGTGTAGTTACTGTGTAGTTACTGTGTAGTTACTGAAAGCAGTATTAATGACATTCTCACTTTTCAGAACTAAGTGCCTAATATAATTAAGATAGAACATCTAAACAGTTTTATTCCTGTTCCATATGATCGAGGATAGTCAGGGCTACAAAACCTGACCAAGTTTAGCTAAATCCAGTACTGCGCGTTCAAGATATGAGGTTAAATATACCAAAAATAGAGGTTTTCTGGTGTGACATCATTGTAAATTATTTGGAGTATAACCTCAATATCTCACAAACTATACATTTGTGGTCTTTCTGAGTTACACTATCTGTTTCCTTTGGCAATTTCGGTTCAGAGTCAATTAAGTTTGAAACAAAATCTCAGTATATGTGAAAGGACTGAGGATATCAAGTTTGTAAAAGCGCGCGCGCGCGCGCGCGCGCACACACATATAATGACCTCATATCTTCCACATTTAACGATTTTTTATAGAAATTCTTTCACCATCCTGTAGCACTCATGTGCTGAGTAGGATAGCATTCAAATCATGTCTTTAAAAGATTTAGATAGATACTGAGGGAGAAAATTCATGTTTGTAAAAGCGCGCGCGCGCGCGCGCGCGCGCATGGCCCAGACTATATCAATGGACGGCCACGGGAGGATAAAAGTACTTTCATACACACCAGCATGCTCATTGATGGCTTAAAATGAAGCTGAGACATACTCCTATCAGATCCACCATAAGTTAGATACCATAATAATCATTAAATGTGTCTAAAATGAGGAAGCTTTGACAAGTGCGAGTGGTTTTGGCAAATTTTGGTATAAAATGGGCCCTGAGATCATATTTTTCTCATTAAAATCACATATATCACGAATATTTATGTGTGTTGGGTGTATCCTCATTGGTATCAACCATTTCAATCATCTAGAGCAGCTTTCCTGATTCTTTATCTCATGAAAATGGGCAAAAAAGCTCATAAATAGTCCAAAATCGGTCATTTTCGCCCCTTTAATAACCTCATTCCTGGCACCCAGAACACTTTGGGTACTCAAAACATGATTTTTCGGATACCTCAGACCCCTAACTAGCACATGGAGCCAGAAAGAACAGCATGTAGGGACTTCTAAATTTCCATGGTTGAGAACCCAATGTCACACTATTCGTTCATTAATCCTGCTTTCACTGTACTGTGTAGTTACTGTGTAGTTACTGTGTAGTTACTGTGTAGTTACTGTGTAGTTACTGTGTAGTTACTGTGTAGTTACTGTGTAGTTACTGTGTAGTTACTGTGTAGTTACTGTGTAGTTACTGTGTAGTTACTGTGTAGGTACTGTGTAGTTACTGTGTAGTTACTGTGTAGTTACTGTGTAGTTACTGTGTAGTTACTGTGTAGTTACTGTGTAGTTACTGTGTAGTTACTGTGTAGTTACTGTGTAGTTACTGTGTAGTTACTGTGTAGTTACTGTGTAGTTACTGTGTAGTTACTGTGTAGTTACTGTGTAGTTACTGTGTAGTTACTGTGTAGTTACTGTGTAGTTACTGTGTAGTTACTGTGTAGTTACTGTGTAGTTACTGTGTAGTTACTGTGTAGTTACTGTGTAGTTACTGTGTAGTTACTGTGTAGTTACTGTGTAGTTACTGTGTAGTTACTGTGTAGTTACTGTGTAGTTACTGTGTAGTTACTGTGTAGTTACTGTGTAGTTACTGTGTAGTTACTGTGTAGTTACTGTGTAGTTACTGTGTAGTTACTGTGTAGTTACTGTGTAGTTACTGTGTAGTTCACAGTGGGCTACCATGCTAGCATAGGCCTAAAATCGACTTTCTTAAATTTCTTTGTAAATAAGCTTTCCTTATTGTAAAAGGCTAGCCCGATTTCATGCAAAAAACCGTAATTAAAAACTTTGCAAGATGCCAAAATGGCGTCGCGTGAAAAAATAGCATTTTTCACTGTCAAGAAATTTTGCCTTTTTTAGCCAAAAATTGCCTAATATTTATTATTTTGGGCTAAAATGCTTGATCAAGGCAGTTTTTAATAATTGAAATACAGTATAGTACTTAAGAATACTCAGCCATCTAAAAAAAACTGTGTGACTTTAACATTTTCACCTGATTTTTGACCGCGCCTTTTTTATGGCGTGTATTTTAGGCAATTTTTGGGGTATTTAACGACAGAAATCGTTGTTGGTTTGCAATAGTTCGGTATAATGCATGGTATCATCAGAAAGCTTAGACAATTCCCTATCAGATGCAATAAGAATCACTTTGGGCAGTTTTGGGCAACTCTGTTTACAAAATTAAGAAACTCAAAAATTGGGTAAAATTTGCTGCATTTTTAGATAATTTATGAGCTCAATTTTGCTATTAAATTGACATACATACATTACATGTTACATGGCGAGATCTCCATCCAAAAGGATTAGTCTGCGTCATCTGCGTCATTACTTTGTATTATACAACTTCGGCGGGTAATATTTCTCCATCCTTTTCGATCTGCAGCCAATCTTCTCATACAATCAATCGTGAGTCCATTACGATCCAATCTCTGCTCAGCATCTTCAATAAATACATCATTTAAGCTCTTCCTAGGCCTGCCTCTTGATCGTTTCCCATGCTTGGGTTTCCATTCAAGTAGATAGTTAGGTAACCGATCTTCAGGCATTCTACTGACATGTCCAAACCAACGTAGCCGTTTTGTTGCTATTATGTCAGTAAGAGCAGTTATTGAAGCCCTTCTTAAAACATCTTCATTTCTTACTCGATGGAACCACCTCACTCTCAGGATTCTGCGTAAGCAGTACTGATGGAAAGACTCTAATCTTCTTGTCTGCACTTGAGTCGTGTTCCATATCTCACTTCCATAGGTCAGAATGGTAAGAACAGCTGCGATGTAGATTCGCACTTTGTTGTTAATGCTTATGTTCTTATTCTTCCAAATGTTATTGAGTTGGTTAAAAGCTCCGGTTGCTTTTCCAATCCTGACACTTATTTCTTTATCGATCTTGCCATCCGATGTAATTTTGGCACCCAAATAAGTGAATTGAGTGACCTGCTTTGCAGAGTTTCCATCGACAGTAATATCTATGGTCCTATTCTCTGGGAGTGGGTGCTGCGACGTATCTTTCCCAATTACCATGATCTCTGTTTTCTTTGCGTTCATCTTTAAACCCCCAAGCCCACAGTATTTCGCAATATTGTCCGTTGTTTCTTGCAGTCCCTCGACAGTGTCATCCATGCCTGCTATGTCATCAGCATAGTCCAAATCAATGACACATTTTTCCGGTTGTCTGGAACTTTGTCTGTACTGAAGAGTAAAACCACGCGATATATTTTTAAACTTCTCGGCAAGTTCTAATCCCCAGTTAAGTACAAGGTTGAAAATGGGAGGCCCTTGCACATCACCTTGTCCAGTCCCCGAATCGACATCAAACCATCTTGTCAAATTGACATATTTTAGTTATTCTCCATGTTTGTGGCATTTTTTGCACCCTAGACCAGATGCATATGGATGAAAAATCAAAATATCACAATTATTATAGTTAAAATTGATAAAAATCCAAAAAATCGTGATTTTAAACGAAATTTTTGAAAATAACAGGAACAATTTTGGTGTTTCAGAAAATTTTGGTCATATAAATAGGCACAACTTTTGTTCTGATCAATATTTTTTCATAATTCAAAAAGATTTGAGTTCCTAAGATAGCTGTCCTTCGTTTACAGTTCATAAAAGAGCTTTAAAATTGATTAAACCTCTAAAAAAACAACTTTTCCTGGGATCAGCCTCCTATTTTTGTACTACAAGATTGCTCAAAATCGGCCCAAAATTTTTTTTCTGAGACATTTTCGGCCCTGTAAATGATTGGAATCGTATTTTTGTACCCAAATTACCTTAGAAACAAAGTTATGGGCATGTGTGATGGTCTAAAATACCCTATGCTAGCATGACCCCCACTCACAGCCCACTGTGTAGTTACTGTGTAGTTACTGTGTAGTTACTGTGTAGTTACTGTGTAGTTACTGTGTAGTTACTGTGTAGTTACTGTGTAGTTACTGTGTAGTTACTGTGTAGTTACTGTGTAGTTACTGTGTAGTTACTGTGTAGTTACTGTGTAGTTACTTTGTAGTTACTGTGTAGTTACTGTGTAGTTACTGTGTAGTTACTGTGTAGTTACTGTGTAGTTACTGTGTAGTTACTGTGTAGTTACTGTGTAGTTACTGTGTAGTTACTGTGTAGTTACTGTGTAGTTACTGTGTAGTTACTGTGTAGTTACTGTGTAGTTACTGTGTAGTTACTGTGTAGTTACTGTGTAGTTACTGTGTAGTTACTGTGTAGTTACTGTGTAGTTACTGTGTAGTTACTGTGTAGTTACTGTGTAGTTACTGTGTAGTTACTGTGTAGTTACTGTGTAGTTACTGTGTAGTTACTGTGTAGTTACTGTGTAGTTACTGTGTAGTTACTGTGTAGTTACATTGTAACTATGTAGTACATCACATTATGATATTCTGTTCATTATAGTAGTTGCATCCTCTTTTACCAGAATAACTAACTATTGTTGATCAGGTGGACGTAAAGAGAGCGGTACCCAAGGACCAGCCACAAGAGAGATGTCACAAAATCTTTGTAGGAGGATTACCCGAAACTAACGAGGCAGAACTCAAAGCTTTCTTTGAGAAGCACGGCAAAGTTACCCAGTGCCAGTTCAAGAGAGATCAGAATACTGGAAGAGGCAGAGGATTCGGCTTCGTATCTTTTGAGGACAGTGATACTGTGGACAAACTGGTCATTCTCAAGGTATGTCCTGACCAGTTTTAAAATTGATTAATCTTTTCAAGAATTGAATGTTTCATGACACCACAATTGATGGATTAGGGCTGAATTAATATTATCATATTTCAGCACATAGAATTCAACGGCAAGACAATCGAATGTAAGAAAGCACTGGATGTGAAAGATAAGCAACATATGGGAGGACACCAGGGAGGACACAATCAGAACCCCTCTGTGTACGGTGCACCTCCTGCAGCTGCTGGATACGGCCCCCCTCCCGGCTACCCTGCCCCTCCCATGCCTGCTTACGGAGCATACCCACCCTACGGTGGATACGGAGGAGCTCCAGCCCAACAAGCTCCTACAGCTCCAGGATACTCGGCCCCTGCTGCAGCTCCCTCCTACCCTGCCTACCCTGGTTATCCAGCACAGCCCGCCTACCCTCAGCCAGCTCCTGGATACCCTCCTGCTCCGGCTGCTAACCCTTACTACCCACAGGTTAGTCAGACAGGGAGGGAACTTGATTTAGTGTCCTATACAGGTGCTGTCTGGTACACAATACTTGTGCAGTGTATAGTAAGGACTACACTAATGCTAGATACAACACGTGCAATGTTAGGAGTTATCTGTGCACGTGCAATCAGGTTTCACCTGCACCATTCCTCCTGGCCCTGTGTGTGGGGTATCACAGCTGCTTGCTGACATTTTACCAGTTCTTCTGAGCCCTGAACCACTGTAAATAACAGTCATCACAGTTATATGATTCCAGCTTATCTTTAAATCTCACTTTTAACGTTGTAACTTTTTATAACTTATATCTTTACAGCAGCAACCGGCTGGACAGTACAACCAAGCTCCAAGCTCTTACGGGGCCCAGAAAAACACGTACGCGTCCAACACGTACGGGAGTTCCAGAAGTGCTAACTACAAACCCTACTAAGAGGTACGTTGTGGTGGGTTAATTAGTTAATTAATTAATTGTAAAGATTATACTAATTATACCCTGATAGAATTAACTATCATTCATTAAATTGTGATTTTGTATAACTAATAACTAATTAATTTACCTTAATCCCAGGTTTATTTCATGTAAAACAGTTATCATTAACATTAGACGTAAAGTTAACTCTCCGCCCCCGGTTTCTAGTACTCCAGGAACTATTAATGTTAATTGTTAACTGTACGCTGAACATTTTGAGCTGACTTTGTGAACCTTTTACATGATCTTTGATTTATTTTACAACTGACAAACAACCTTGTTCACAACTATATCAACCGCCCAGTACCGATTTGAATTTTCGAAAGTTTCGTTTATTTTATTATCACCACCCGGTAAATGTATTTTAATGTAATATTTAAAATTTAAATTAACTTGATGTTAAATTGTTCTTTACATTCGTATTACTTAAGTACTTAAAATGTGTATTTAATTTAATGTAAACTTTAAAACTGGTAATAAGCCATGGTAAAATAAAGTAAATAATTAGCGGTTTTTCTTAAATACCAAATCGAAATATGAAGTTAAATAGGTATTATTAAGTAAACTCATCCACATAAACAATTTTATCACTTATTTTCGATCTAGCAGCATAGGATTTAGAAAATAATTTAACCCTAGAACTCTTTAAAAATAAGTACATAAGTTTAGAATGTGACAGTAGAAAATTTAGCCCGATTTTTGGGGTCGTTGTGCCTGGGACATTGTTAAACTGATTTTAGGGCCGCGCGTAGCACTTAATCTTTAGTAACTAGCAAAAATGTGCGCGCCTCGCGTACAGAGGGTGACTTTTCAGCATCATTAAAGCAAACTTGACCTCTCAAAAGTTGTCCGCTTGCAACGCGTTAGTAGCAACGCATCCCTTGGTATAGCCTATAAACGAATTCATCAGTTATATTTTGAGTGTACATTTACATTTGTTTCTCATCGGAACTTCACTTAACTTCGATCATTTTCACACACGACCCTTCTGACTTGAGCTTTTGCTTCCAGGCCAAAGTCTATGACATGGTGTCGACGATGCTTGCTTATACCCAATGGTAAGTCCTAGCTCACTACATTCCCGTTTATTTATTATAGTCTTGCCCATATCTAAATGAGGACACACTTGTTGGTAACAACTTTCAGTTTTGACCGCATCTATACGCTATTCTGAACAGATTTTGCACAGTAAATTTTATCGTAGTCTCTCGTTACCAGTCTCACCTAGTTGCTTCTCAGGGCCAACTCTCCAAACTCCGGTACTTGGCTCTGCAATCACGAACACAATTCAACCTTGAGAGACACATCTGACCTCCTGATCAGGTAATTACACACAAGTTTACTTCTGAATTAAGCCAACTCCCTGCTAGAGCAAACTAAATCTGTGTTAGTTTGTGTATTTTGAGGAGTACATTAACTTGACAACCCCACTTTGACTGTGAGCATCACGCTCATTGTCCATTTATGGTTTTCACAGACACTTAAGTCCCAATTAAATTTAGTTTCTCCAACATATTGAGATAGTAACGGATCTGTTTTGCAGGGAGAAAAGTTTTGAAGTCTCTAGTACTCTTCTCTACATTGGACAACAAGTCTTTGAATTTGAAATCAGGTACGTAGTAGATCTTGCAGTTCACTACATAATACAGTTTTGTTTGAGTGATGATACAATTGGAGACCTGTAATGATTTCCGTGATTAATTCCTTAGCTGACAAACCATTCCAAACATGAGAAGTAACCTTTGGGATTTTATTAAATGCTAATACGTAATAATTGTTTCAGATCTTCCGTTTGCAAAAGCTTAGCGAACCAATGAACCTATTACTCTAAGAGTGGTAAGTTAAATCAAGCACAATCTAAATTTTCCGCTGCAATCATGAATGATGAATTTTGACAAGCATATATCTGACTTTTCTGAGGATATTATCGTTCTGACTATCTTAAGAAACTTTCTGTTGTAGTCTTAATCTATGTTCCCGCCTTAACAGTCTCTCACTTCAGATACGATATTCAATGATGTGAAAACTAACTCTACTCTAACTTAACTTAACTACTCTAATAATCCTAATGTAAGTAATATTATATATTAAATAACCTGTCCTCGAAGCCATGTAGTTCGTATAGCTTTGTGGTAAACGTACAGGAAAAGTTAATTCTACGGTTAAACGTGTTGTGTTGCTCTTGTGCGACCCTGCCCCGTGCTTTAGATACACCTTATTTTTCTTATTATATTTATTGTACATCTCATCCTGAGTTCGTATTATTGACCTTAACCCTTTCTTTAGTGGATCGAATATAAAGAAACAAAGTGAATGAAGGACGTTCATGCCAGCAGATCCCGCTTTCCAGACATGTAAGTTTACCTCTCGATTAATTTACCATTTTCCAAACATCAAAGTGATGATAACTTAGTTCAACTGAAACTGATAATGTCGATTTACTGCATTCTTTCGCTCCTATCTGATGTTTTCTCAGAAATATCTGTCACAAATCTTGAAAATTCTGTACTTGACGACTCCTTACTTTCAGCTTCTGCAACTCCGAACTTAAAAGAAATCTACACACTAATGGTAGGCCCATCGTTAATCTACTTTACAACTTTAAGACTATTTGTTAATGATGAGTTATAAATCTTTGATAGGAATTGCCGGCTGATTTTATTGATGCTAATTAACACTCTGAATTAATACAATTCTTCTTGCACCATTATTTCTGTAAACTTAATTCTAAAACATCTTCTCTTCAGTTTTCAATCGGTCCAAAGGGGCTCTCTAACATCCGCAATTACTACCGTCCTCTAATGCTGAAACATCTCTGAAGGTAAGATGACTTTCCCTTACGACACGAGTATTTAAACTAATTTAACTGATGATCCTCTTGACCATATTCTCCGTGAAGGTTACAAACTGATTTAATGAGTCTGACAATATATCCTAAGTAAGCTTATCTTCGTAGTTCATTTGTATCTAATAAACTGACTCTCTCAGATGAAGCTCCGAAAATGCTTCTTCGACCGAAGATGAACAAGTTCTAAAACAACTGAAGACGCTGCTTCAAACATGGCTCCTCTCTAGAAAGTAAGTCTTGTTAACTTTAGTAAACAGTTTGCTTCCAGAAAGCCCCAGCTAGGCTCTACGTGCTTAGTTGGTCGTCAGCGTAGCTATATTACTTCGTCTGGTTCAGTGAGACGTTTTCTTCATAGTTCCCGTCTCTAACCCAAACCAAACCAGATATAGTCTAATTATTTCACATCTGTTGCATTCTAGTGAGCTGTCTAAGCCTAGTAACTAACTTGAATTTACCAGCCTATTCTTCAGGTTTTTTGTAGTGACTGAATGCCTGAGAGAAACCCATCGGCTGACCTAACACCTGTATATCGTAAGTCTGCTTCAAAGCTTTTAATTGCTGATTCTTTTACTTTCTGTTTCCTTGATGCACCAGCTAAGCCGGGGGATCGTTCACACACTATTTTGTGAACATGTTGGTACTTGAATATACTGATATCTCCACATGCCGGTATGTGAACGCTCCCTTTACTTGCTACTTGGCTGCCCCTCACTGAAACTACATCACATGGTCTGGTTTAGTGGGACATTACTTTCTAGTCCTCGTCTCAATCCGATCAGATACAGGTCTTCTAGAACTCTAATCTAACTTACGTTAATTTGTCTTAATCAAAGATAAACATATTGAATTTTCAGGTTATAGGAATCTATCTGGAGAGATTCAAAACAACAGACTGCCTTGACTACATAATCTACTGCATTCTCTTAGTAAGTGTCTCAAAGATATTTAAATTCTGCAGTAGAAACCACATTTAATGAAGAGATTGTAAATTACACGAGTTTTCGAACAGTGAGGACACCTTAATTTCCGCCGTATCTGATCTTAGACGCAAACTTCTGTTTCAATGATAACTTCTGACATGATCATAACATAATGTTATTTCAGCTAAGAGAGACGTTTACCTGACGACCCAGTCTCCCTTGCACCCAGAAAGGTAAGACTATCCTCTTAATTATATACCACTGAAAATATATTTAAGTATATGATGAACACAAGTTATCCCTGTCATACCCTAAATGTGGTGATAAAAACTAGGTAACACCTGATCTTAACTTCAACTCTTTGTAGAATATTGTTTGTATTTATCGATCCTAACCAGCTTCTCTCTCGCAGTTATCGAGAAAACTAACAAGGAACAAGCTGGAGAATAAAACCTCTTCTCTACACTTCTGTTAAATTAAGGTAAGTTTCATATTTCTTGTATAAATGAATTTCGTTCTACCACAGCTGATTTTTAAACAGCAATTTTAAGCTTCCCTCTGAAAGTAAATGATGAACACAAGTTATCCCTGTCTTACACACCATGGTGAAAACACCTAGGTAACACCTGATCTCAACTTGAAAGTCTCTAATTATCTTTCATGCAACATCGGTTCTAACAAAACTCTTCGCAGTTTCCTGGAAATCAACCAACTCTGCCGAGAAAATTATCTCAAAACCTTTTGTTCCTGATCATTCTCTAAGGTAAGTTAATTATTGAGATTGTACACACAATGTTTACACAACTTGACTTGATGAGAGAGACTGCCTACTCTAATGTGAGGACTATTCTATACTCCTACCACCCATAAACTGATCATTTTACCTTTCTGTTAACCTTCCTGTTGTTATGGTGATCACATGCTGTAACACTTAACTGCTTCAGGAGCCGCGTTTCCAGTCTTAGGGCAAGAATTCTCAGAAGGTAAATAAAGAACTGCTTTAAAATTAGCATTGATTCTTATCTTTAAATGATGAAAAACCCCAACATCGCAGTTTCCACTGATTCTGATGAAGTTTTACTTTCTTGGATGTCTGATTTATTATTCTCTTCTAAAATTTAATTCGTTTTATTTCTCCACATAACTAGACCCTTTTTTCAGGTTTTAACTAATCTTCTAAGAAAAAGAAAAGCAGTCACGGACAAAATCCTCTCTTATCTAATAAGGTGAGCAAATATTTCTGGTATATAAGCATTAAATATTACAAAAAAGCCTGATGACCATAACCTACATTGTCTGAATACAGTGATAGAAAAAACTATATTGATCTGACTTCTATCTTATATCATGCTTGTACTGCTTAAACCTTGTGTTCTTAGTAGCAAACATCTCCATTTTCAGATTGTACGAGTTTGTGGCAACTAATAGACTATGAGAACCTTTCCCAACTCTACTTGTAAGTACAATTCTCTGTTCGTTCAACCCTTACCAGTTCACAATTCTATTAAATGATGCTTATCTTTCGGGTCTGATTAACATGAGGACACCACTACCCTGACTATATTTAGCATAAGATCTATTTTAAACTGTGTACTGTTTAACTTACTGAACTGTTATTACTTTCAGATTCCCATGCATTGTTACCGCCCAACTGAATTCGTCAGAAATCTGAGATTTGGAACGACAACAAAGATCGATGCCAAGGTAAACACCATTCCTTGGACATAAGAATTATTCTTGATATTACTAGTGATGATCCAACCATGACATTAATGCTCGATTACAGCTGAGAAGCTGAAATGAGGACAATTTCTTCACCTGAACGTGTCTCATCCTAAATATTGTTACACTTAGCTTTGTTGTTATTGTAAAACATAAATCTTTCAGGCGTGACGCTATGCTCCATCTCTCTCAATCAGAGTTTCTCCACTCAGCTGCGAAAGTTGGAATAACATCGGTAAGTTTACCTCAGACAGAGTATTTTATAATAGATAGGCTGATATAATGATGTATGAAATTACATGAGCTCTGCCAGTGAAGAGAATAATTTCCCGCTGATTCTGATAATATATCTCGTCCTATTGTGCTTCGCACATGGGGACTGTTAAGCTGTTACTAATCGATAACTTATCTCAGATTCAACAGTGGATGAACAAAACAACTGAACAAACCAGAACGAACACATTTATAGACTATCTTCTTGACTGTAAGTACAACCTAGATATTTTACAATAGCTACCTCGTTAAGGATATAATGATGTATGAAATTACATGAGCTCTGCCAGTGAAGAGAATAATTTCCCGCTGATTCTGATAATATCAATTTAATCTCCTCGTTCTCGTTTAATTGTGTGATGAATGAGACTTCAATCAGTAATAATTCTCAGAGTCTTACAAGAATGTCAGGAGATCGTTGCTTAAAAGTCTAGAAGTATCTGAGGAAGTCTTACTTCGCTTAACTGGTAAGCAAAAAATGTAACTGTTAGGTCAATGAATGAAACTCTGAAACAAATGATGATCACAACAGACCTGTTCAGAAAAATACTGAATGACAACAAACCTCATACCTGATGTCCACATTGAAAACTCTGTCCTCTCTCGATGTCTAAGAATTCACTAACTCTAAATAATTTCAGTGTATTTGTGTTGCAAGAGGAAATCAAGAGTTACATCATCTTCCGGTACTCTTTCTAGAGGTAATTTTTTAAACCAATCAGTGTACATAAGTTCTCAAAAACTGTGTACTGTGATGACGTAATTTGCGTCTGATGTCATTTGAATGGGGCCTGCCAGCCCACTAAACGTTCTCTTGATTGCTTGCAGATAATTCCCGAATCTGACACTTCACCTGAAATTATTAAGTTCTCAGATTGTATATCTCAAATTAACACTCCTAATCTTCAGCTTGAGTGAAACTATGCGTAGAAGAGGGATCCTGATCTCTACTCCTGGTAGGTTAATCGCTAAAGATGTTGTCCACACTCTACATACTGTGCAATGTGATGATTATTCAGACCTGTTCTGAAACTCTTGATGACAAATCGAATTCCTCGTATCTGATTCAACCTCTCCATTACTTATATATTTACCAAATAATCTCATCCGTAGTTTAAAACCTCTGTCTTTTTCAGGGAATTGAAGAATGTGACATTCAAGTAAAAGACATTCTTACTAGAATCACGGTACGTTAACATTATTCAAACTATAACCTCTTACTTACGAACTGAGACCCCATGCACCACTCCGAAAAATGATGTGGACATTCTTTCCAGAACATCTAAGACTGATATGTATCGTCAAATGTATTTAACTTTTTAGTAAACTAGCTAAAAAATTCCTAACTTGCTATTCATTTTCAGATACAAGATTGGACTTCAGCAACTGCTAAAATGGATAACTCCACAGAAATAAACGACAGGTGAATAAAGATTCATTTTAAATATCCTAAATTCGGTAACCATCGTTACTAATGTAAAATGATGACACACCCAGCTCTCTTGTACTGTTGAATGAAGACAAACTTTCCCAAGGTTCTGATTTTACTCACAACAACATGATAATATCTTATACCATGAAATAACATCTGACACAAATTAACCTCAGGACCAGCTAAAAGTAATCAGATACTCAAGAATCGACGATTGACATTATCTGGAACATACTATCTCCGAATGGTAAGGACCATCTCTGAAAATAATCCTATTTATACTGAGGCTGTTTAATTGATGATATCTGGCATTTGGATTGACGGGTCCGCTTTTAATTCTTGAAACATGTTTTTTGTTTCTTGGATTGCTTGAGTAGACGCGACATGATGTTAATTTTTCTCACTGAATTTCAATTCTAAGAATAAGATTAAACTATAAACAAAATCATTATTCAAACCTTAATCATTTCAGCCGTTGATCTGTCTTTCTCCTTAACTGCGTGTCTATCTCTCAACTAATCTGAACATCTAGGTAAGTGACTGGCTCACGTCCCATCTATAAAATATACCATCATTGAATGATGACGACACGGTCCGTGTTTCTGAATCCATGTGAAGCCAAACTGACCACCTGACTTTAAAGAGACATTTTCGCGACAACCTTGATTAAGCCTTTGTTAAATAGAACTCATTTCAGGTCTGTGTTTTTGCTCGACTGAAACCTTCTCCTCCTATATGGACCTGCATTCAAAGGTAATTATTACAATCATAATCGTAAAACTTAATCTTATATTAGTACTATGATGAGAATGACTTGCCCTGTAAGAACCACACTAGCTTCCTGCTTTTGTTTGTGTTTACCCTATTGTTCCTTCTGAAATTACATGCAAATTGTACGTCTCATCACTAGCTATATTAGTTGACTAACTAACCTCATTATTATCAGGTCGATACCACAACTGACTAGATCAGATCTCATCTAAGGTGAAGGCCTATAAAACGTTCTCAACTATCATTTTATGGTAGTTTCTGACAACCAAATTAAGTTATTGTTAAGAAAGCTAATACAGCTAGATGGAGAAATTCTTGATAGAATCCTGTTTATTCAAGTACTATGATGAGAATGACTTGCCCTGTAAGAACCACACTAGCTTCCTGCTTGTGTTTGTGTTTACCCTATTGTTCCTTCTGAAATTACACCAAAAGTTAACCTGACTTGTTCAAGCTTTCTCCTTTGACTTATAAGTTTAACTATTACCAGGGAGGTTCCACAACTGAAGTTGACTCCAACATAACAATTGCTCCTGTGCAACATGACAGTGCTCACACAGAGAGAGACCCAACAAGCGCCTTACCCGGAAGGTATGCACTTAACAAACTACTCTCTTAAAGTTCTTATCTTATCACCCAATGATGATTAGCTTCGTGCGTTTCAGTGAGATTTATCTATGATATTGACCTTCCTTGGACTGAGTGGTGATGTTAAAAAAGTTTACTTGCTGTAGTTCCGTTATTTTAGTTCTTAAACCTTTTCTTTCTTCAGGAGTTTGTACACATTCTTCTGCTACTCAAATGGATCGTTCCTACATGAAAAGTAAGTTTGGAAAAGATGTTGGATGAATTTTCTCAGTATGCTTCATCTTTAAATGATGTTTTATTGGAATTACCGTCTGACCTTTCTGAGTTGACACCTTTATAATAAGCCTGATATAAAATAATCTAGATGCAATAAGTTCGTATAATATTTAAAAATGCTAACCTTCATTTTTACTCAGGAAAACACCGGAACATCTGAGGAGCTAGTTGAAGAAGCCCTGGAATATCATAAATTGCAGGTGAGATAGGCAAATGAATAGTTCTGTACTTTTTCTAGAAAGCTGGAAACCATACTCTTAAAATGATGTTTTATTGGAATTACCGTCTGACCCCTCTGAGTTGACACCATTATAATAATCCTGATTTGAAGTAAACAAAACCATTTTATATGTGGCGCCTGGACCATAAACATCGTTTTCATGTTATACTTTGCCAAGGTCCCGACCTGAAGAAACCACTCTCCAAGATCAAGACTCATCCGGAGCCAAATATAAGAAGGTGGGTTTTTATAAAACTAATAAGAAATTATTGCTGCATTATGATGTTATGATGAAACCAATTCAGTTTCGCGACTGTTCTGATTGCCTATGATATGACACCCTTGGCTGTCTGAAAACATCAAATAGCTATCAATTGTGTAGTTCATTAACAGTAGCAGTTGTCTAATCTACTTAATCCCCAGTTTAAGGAAGACTCACCACCTCTGAACCATAACTACAGTCTAACAGAACTCTTCTAGATTAAAGGTAAGACTCTGTAATGGTAGAGAACATCATACAACTTCAAGCGTTATGATTTAACTTGACCAGCCGACGTCTGTACACGGTATATTATGCATAACCAGTGTACCTAAATTCCTATATACCTATTATTACTTATTATTACTATGGCCTTGTACAGGCAATATGACGGAATGATTATGAGAGATGAACGCTACAAAATAACAATTTACCCTGCTTGAAACATTCATGTTATGGGCGAATTATGATGTTAATAAATCTGGGTTTTCAACGGTACTGAACTGTTTTATAAACTGTCAACATTCCTTCAGTACTGGTGTTAGCAGAGATTCAACATTGAAACCGAAGCTTATTCAACCAGGTTCGTTCATTTCTTTGTATGAAACTAAACTCTCGAAATTGTAGCTCATAATATGATGAAAAACCCCAACATCGCAGTTTCCACTGATTCTGATGAAGTTTTACTTTCTTGGATGTCTGATAATTTAGTTCCCATAGGAGTTTAATTTGATTTGTTCAACACTAGAGTAAACCCCTAATAATTTTATTGATTTCAGGACCAGCTTCGCTCATTAAAAATCGACGAAGAGATCTACTAGGACGATCACGTGAATCCCCTAACTTCAATCTCATAGTGGTAAGTTTGTTCTGCCCAGAATAGAAAAGATTAGGGAAATAAGCCCCTGATAATTTTATTGAAGTTGAATGAGGAAATTTTCCCCGACTGACCTAGTCTAGATAGCTGGATCATGTTGATAAAACTATTTTTATAATCTGATAACACAAGTTAAACTCTACCTTAATGTCTCTTCTCTGAACGTATTTTCTAACGATGTAAATCTTACCAGGTCCAGTTGGGTGAAACAGGAAGAATGAAGACATCGAAACTCTTCTAGGTAATTTCTCTTAATTTAGTTATTCTCTTAGATCGTTCATATTCCGTGCACAATACCGTATTCTCGCAACTGGGTGTTCCCGTCAGTTTGACCGCTGTGCGGGCAGCCCGATGGTGTTTGGACCCGTTCTCCTGTGGACATGTCCTCCGTACTGTTGCAAAACAAGAGCCACTAACCTCGTGTTCGGTGGTTCCATTGCATATTCCTTGTGCCTCGTGGAGACCCTAGTGCTCAGTTACCACGGGGATAAACCATGCAAATGACAAACCTAACAATAAAATTGATAGGCTTGTTAGATCACTTTAGACCTTAAAAATAACACGTGTCTTTATTTCAGATTTGACAAGTGTCAGGAATGAGTTCACTGAATAATGGACAACATCAACTGCAACATTCTTACCAGGTAAGAAAACTAGTGATAAAGCAACTGATTTCTTATTCTAAATGATACAATGATGAGACCCCATGCACCACTCTGAACAATGATGTGGACATTCTTTCCAGAACATCTAAGACTGATATGTATCGTCAGATATAACGAACTCTCGAGTAAACTTTCTCATCATTTTCCTAACTTACTATTCATTTTCAGATAGCAGAGACTAGCAAATGCTTAGATACACAACTTCGCTCAAAAGATATCACAGGTAATTTAATGTCTCAATTGACAACGTTGTGAATCTAGTTACCATAGTTACCAAAGTAAAATGATGACACACCCAGCTCTCTTGTACTGTTGAATGAAGACAAACTTTCCCAAGGTTCTGATTTTACTTTTCATAAAATATGTTATCATGAAGTACCTTTTTCAATACTAACAAATTCTTTCATCTTCAGGCATTGTGGAAATGTAACACTGCCGTTTCTGTGACATATTTTCTGAAATAGGTCAGTTCTTACAAAGTTTTGCTCAATTTTAGTTTCTCCTCAATAATGATGACACTTACACACCAATTGAGACAAGTCTATGAAACTTCAAAGAGCTTTTTAAATCTGAATCATGCTACCAAATTGTTCATCGGCCTCCGAACACATTTCATACGATTGTAACAATCAATTATTTCAGAACTCACAAATATCTTGCAATTGTCCCAAGACCTCAACATTCTACTCCTTATTTTCAAGGTTGGTTTTCTTAAACATTTTTGTCTTGTCAATTTCCTATGAACAAATCTGATGAAGCAAATTTCTTATGAATCACACGTGTTTATAGAAAACTACAATTCTCTGACACTTCCCCTTAAGTTTTATTAACAAACACAATTTGTCCCACATTAAATTTGATGTTTTCCAGGAACGTTGCAACCTTTTCACTCCACCCTCCTCTTTACTAATCACTGCTTGCATCAAGCTAAATCGTAAGCTGATGAGGATCCGAACCTGAAATTGTTAACCACAACTTGTACTTTTCTTAACTAAGGTAAAGACTTCAAATGATGATAAGCACCCTTTTGTCACCTGAAAATTCATGACAGATACTTGGTGCTGCCTTCCTTCTGATATAGCAGTATCTTTTAAATATAATTAGTTGTGTCAAACTGAAATTTAACTGTGTTAACCTTGCAGGTGATCATATTGGCTATCATACTGCGAACATCTTCAACTACAGTCTTACAGGGTAAGTCTTAATATTTCAACTGTTCTTAATAAAATTATCTAAGAGTTAAATGATGATAACAAGATGACGAATCTTATTGTTAGTGCAGATAAAACCAGGCTACCACCTTAACTGATATTATTAACTCACCCTTAATTATATCGTAATTAATGTGGGATTCTTGCAGATATTTAAACTTAGTTAATGTTTCAGGGACTCTCATTTGACATTGGACCATTCTAAAAGTCAACAAACTGAAATTAACAACAAAGAGAACAATCTCAGGTAAGCATCCTAAATTTTAACTCTTTTAACCTTCAACGATACTTAATATGATGATAACAAGATGACGAATCTTATTGTTAGTGCAGATAAAACCAGGCTACCACCTAAACTGAAATTTCTCTTTGAAAAAGGGAAGATAATTCCTACATTGAACCATGCTTCTGACACAAATATTTTTCAGAGGACTAAACAGCCACCAGATAACGTCAAGCAAAAGAAGAACGGCCAAATGCTGCCACTACTAAAATAGTAAGTCTAATCAAGTGATTTCGGCCAACTTAACATTCTCGCAGAATGATGATCAATTTATCATGTTTGATTTGTTCAAGCACAGTTTTTGTGTAAGTTCAATAATAATGAGAATATTATAGTTACTCTGACTGTTTTTAACATAAACACTGATCTCAAGTTACCGAATTCTCTAACCAAGCATTTTCTTCAGATCTCCAGAGTCGAACTGAACAGGCAAATTTCACAAGACCTCCACCGGCTCTAATACCTGGAGTAGCTTACGTCTATCATGTGCAGCCGAAGGAACAAGAAGAAACTTATCCAAATGGACATTTTTATAGAACAATGTTGTTTCTAACATAGTAACTATTGAATGTTTTATTTTCCTCTGTTATCCAAGTCCTTCAATTTGTTCATATTACCACTCAACTGACCTCGAAATCCCGTAGTCAATGACTCAGAAAATGCATTACTTTCCTCTATTCTGTCCACAAATCTTCCAAAATCCAAACTTATTCTGGATCTACAATACCCAGTGACAAAAAATAAGTTAACCATAGATGTTTTGGGGCCAATTTGGACTAATTTGATGGAAATTTTGTCAAGATGATAGGGTATGGTGTGGAACCGAATTGGTACTAGAATGAATTGGAAAAAACCATATTGATTTAATTGCCCCAATCTGCCCCGTTTTCGAAGATGAAATTTCCAAGGTCGAAATTTCACACTTCTGACTGAATTTCTCTCCAGCAACAAATTAGTCAGTTAACTATTATATACATGATATAGATGGCATGTGACACTATTGAGGTGCTGGGAGTTTGATTCCGGTCGGAGGAAGCATATTACAGGAATCTTCACGAAACGAAAATTCATAATTTGCCATTTCTGTCCCAATTTGATGGAAATTTTGGTCAGTGACCAATCAATCCGTTAACTGAGGATGGTATGGGACCAAATTTGGGTACTCTAAGGTCAAAGTCTGGAATGAATTTGAAAAAACCATATTGATTTAATTGCCCCAATCTGTCTCATTTTCGGTTTTCGAAGATGAAATTCCAAAGGTCGAAATTTCACACTTCTGATTGAATTTCTCTCCAGTAACAAATTAGTCAGATAACTATAGATGGCATGTGACACTATTGAGGTGCTGGGAGTTTGATTCCGGTCGGAGGAAGTATTATACAGGAAGGGGGGGGGGTCAACCTCATTTTACCTCATGAGGCCAGCCAAAAAAGGCAAAATTGGGATGAGGTAAAATGAGGTAAAATGAGGTAAATAAATCTAGTTTTCTAAGCCTTTTTTTAGAGACAAAAAAGGTTTATTCGAAGTCATTATACTATAATTCGAGGCTGTGCATGGTCTCCCATGATATTTAATGGTTTATTAGGGGTGATGTGGTCCCTGGGAAGGGGCATTCCCAGTTTAAACTACTTACTCTCCAAACTTGGGGTAAATAAAACTTCGCATTATAATTATTATTTATGAAAAGAAAATTGAGTATTTCAATCTCCATGATCCATTAGGATATTGTAAATAGCACTTGCTAAGTTTTGTAAAGGAATTAGCAATAACTTTAGTGTCATTTAAATAATATCTTAATTTGATTTTGCGATTATCGAGTCACTCTGAAACAAATTGTGTCTAACTAGACCAAATGTAAACAACAGTTGTGCATGGAATTGGATTGGATATCTACATGAATTTAGTCGAAATTGCATAGTGAAAGGTAATTTTATAATAAATTACTCATATAAACTCATACTTCATACAATTCTAAGTTCTTATGTACATGTTCAATGTTCATGATTCGCTGTAGAATAAAGGGCGGTTCAGAAAACCACCTTTCGTTTAAATAATTAGATATCACCTCTAATTAGTTGCTCTATAGGGTCGGGAACAACCAACAAAATTTTTGTGTCTCTACGGTTTCGTATAATACTGACTTGGGCCACGCCCATATTTTTCACCAATTTTTAACAGGTAAAATTCTCTAAATCGTCAATTTAGTCACGAAGGAGTATGGAAGGAGTTCTAAATGTGTGCTCCTCTAATATAAACAGTAGGAAATGGTTAACTTTAGTCGAGGTTTCAGGTCTCTACAATGTCGGGAAGTTCCTGCAGGAATTTGCGCATTGCGCTGAAGCGCAAGATTCACAGCGCCAAAAGCGAAGGTCGTAGAGACATGAGACCTTGATTAAAGTTAACCATTTCATACCATTGCTATGAGAGTATGCCACTTTCAGAGTCCTGAACACACTCCTACAGCTCTTAATCGTCAATTATATGAATTTTACCTGTTAAAATATATCATCTTTAACTGATATCAATTTAGTTTAACACTGTTAATTTTTTTTTTAAACATAATACTTCACACCAAACTAACGCACAATATGATAATATAAAAAAGGAAGGTTTTCCTTGAATTCCAAATTCAACTTTGATTATATCCTGGCACTGATTATCATTTCTCGATTGTTCTCTATTTTCCAATGCAGTCAGCAAGTTCCAATTAAGGTAGACTAGGTTTTCGAATCTTCATATTATGTTCAGAAGCAGGCCAGAAGGGGTTGTTACCAGAGGAATATCTTCTTGGAACAAGGGAATTAATGAGGTCTTCATTTATTTCTTCATAACTCGTCAGTGACAGTCCGGACAGAATGAGCATTGACGAGATCCACTGATTACTTCATAGCTCGTCATTGATAGGATCAGTATTAAATGAGGTCGAATGATTACTTCATAGCTCGTCACTAACTGGATCAGCATAACATGACTAACAACTAACGAGGTCCAGTGATCTCTTGCTGATACGTCAAGACAAGATCAGTAAATAGCTAAAAATATCGAAAAAAATTAGCTTAGGAATTACAGAGTACAATTGCCTTCTTCACAACTTACTCTTCGGCCTGATCTTTTTAAATCACTCATTCCCTCTGAAACAAGATAATGCTTAGGACTAGGAGGAACTTAGTTAACTTCTTGTATGATTCGGTAAGAGGAAAATTCCTTAGTAAGCTAACATTCTTTTGTAGGATGTTACCACTTATCATGGTAACATCTGTTATCCAGCATAATCCCACAACTAGACCCTCTTATTCTTGAGTCTTGACAATGACAGTAGCAATGTACACTATTTTGATGCTCGATCCAGGTCTCCAAGAAAACCTTCCTTTTTATATTCTCATATTGTGTGTTAGTTTGGTGTGAAGTATTATTTTCTTTTTTAAAACTAACAGTGTTAAACTAAAATGATAATTCATATAATTGACGATTAAGAGATATGGGAGTGTGTTCAGGACTCTGAAAGTGGAATACTCTTATAGCAATGGTATGAAATGGTTAACTTTAGTCAAGGTCTCATGTCTCTACGACCTTCGCTTTTGGCGCTGTGAATCTTGCGCTTCATGCGCAATGCGCAAATTCCTGCAGGAACTTCCCGACATTGTAGAGACCTGAGACCTCGACTAAAGTTAACCATTTCTTACTGTTTATATTAGAGGAGCACACATTTAGAACTCCTTCCATACTCCTTCGTGACTAAATTGACGATTTAGAGAATTTTACCTGTTAAAATTTTTGCCGAGATTTACCTCATTTTACCTCATGAGGCCAGCCAAAAAAGGCAAAATTGGGATGAGGTAAAATGAGGTAAAATGAGGTTGACCCCCCCCCTACAGGAATCTTCACGAAACGAAAATTCATAATTTGCCATTTCTGTCCCATTTTCAGATATGACATTTTCCTAACAGAAATGTGACTAATTTGATGGAAATTTTGGCCAGTGACCAATCAATCAGTTAACTGAGGATGGTGTGGGACCAAATTTGGATGATAATTAATCACTCTACAGTCGAATGTCACGTGACGAAAACGCCGTGATTTCATTGGTTAACCTAATAACGCGCCGCAGATCTCTATAAACACAAATTATTCATCGCGCGTGCAGTAAACTCAAATTAAGTCCTAATTTGTTACCGAAATTTGGCAACTATCAACATCATGGCACAATTAAGTCGCATGCCCAGTAAATTGCTAATCAAATGTACGGCCCTTATACAGTCTACAGTGTATGAATTCATGAACGAATTTATTAAGGCAGATTGGTAGAAAAACGATCGTAAATGCTAATTTGTATTAACAGTGGAAAGTGTTCTTATAAGGGAGACTGTTGTGCAGCTGCATGCCGGTCGAGTTATAAAACACGTCATTAAAAACACTTTCCAAGAATTCCAACTACAAAACTTAACCACAAAACCAGCTCTGACCACTATTTCTAGGTTCTCAAACGACTAAATGATGCGAATTATAAATCCTCAGAGCTGATCCCACTCTACATTAAAAACACTTTCCAGCTACAAAACTTAACGACAAAACCAGCTCTGAGCACTATTTCTAGGTTCTCAAACGACTAAATGATGCGAATTATAAATCCTCAGAGCTGATCCCACTCAACATTAAAAACACTTTCCAGCTACAAAACTTAACCACAAAACCAGCTCAGAGCACTATTTCTAGATTCTCAAACGACTAAATGATGCGAATTATAAATCCTCAGAGCTGATCCCACTCTACATTAAAAACACTTTTCAGCTACAAAACTTAACCACAAAACCAGCTCAGAGCACTATTTCTAGGTTCTGAAACGACTAAATGATGCGAATTATAAATCCTCAGAGCTGATCCCACTCTACATTAAAAACACTTTCCAGCTACAAAACTTAACCACAAAACCAGCTCTGACCACTATTTCTAGGTTCTCAAGCGACTAAATGATGCGAATTATAAATCCTCAGAGCTGATCCCACTCTACATTTAAAACACTTTCCAGCTACAAAACTTAACCACAAAACCAGCTCAGAGCACTATTTCTAGGTTCTGAAACGACTAAATGATGCGAATTATAAATCCTCAGAGCTGATCCCACTCTACATTAAAAACACTTTCCAGCTACAAAACTTAACCACAAAACCAGCTCTGACCACTATTTCTAGGTTCTCAAGCGACTAAATGATGCGAATTATAAATCCTCAGAGCTGATCCCACTCTACATTAAAAACACTTTCCAGCTACAAAACTTAACCACAAAACAAGCTCTGAGCACTATTTCTAGGTTCTGAAACGACTAAATGATGCGAATTATAAATCCTCAGAGCTCCCACTGCGTAAGATTTTTTATAGCCGGTAAACTAATTAACCGGCTAAAAATGCTGAGACGGCTATTATGTATTATCGTAACGACATGATCACGGCTGTTAAAATGGCTATTTATAGTTGACTGTTCATAACAGCTGCTCTATATTTGTGTGCTCTATCATAAGGTTGTTTCAGAGCTGCTAAACTCCAGCTAATATAACAAGTCTTTTTATATAGCCATTTAAGAAGGAAAAATAT